GATTTTATAGATCCTTGCTTTTACTGCTGAATCAAACATTTTCACATCAATAATCACTACATGTACGTATCTATTATAAATATCTGTAGGCTTAACCCCTTTTGCTGAAAAGTATTTTATTTTGCTATTTAGCTAATATAAAGTTCACATTATTTCTTATTTGTGTTTTGCATTGAATCTATACATGAAGTAAGGTTGATATTTGAGTCAACATTAATAATCAGTGTTAAGATTAATGACACAGTTCTGGCTCAAACATCACTGATGCATGTGCACTTAAGCTTTACTTGAGGTAAACTTTACTCTATAAAAAAATCGATTCAAATCGTACACTGTCTTTTAGCTTACACCTCGAGCAACTAACAAAAATCACTATGATTGGATTTATTTTGACTACGAATAAAAGCCGTAACAATTGCTTCAAAATCTAGCAAAACCGGTACTATTCTGAAAACCATGGCTGATAAAACTCGCCTGGATGGCGTATGAATGAATTTTAACTCGATTAAAGTCAGTTTTCTTTAAAGCAATTTCTGAAGCAGATTTTTTGCCCGACATTTCCTTACGAAGTTATTCTTTTTTACCCATCATTATACATTGTTTATAGTTCCTTAGTATTTTCATGCAACGGATTGCAGATTGAATTAGAGCATTATAAAGTGGTAACTCATTAAAAATGAGTCAACAAGTAAATAATTCATACAATCATATATGTCATATTTGTCAAAAGAGCAGGGTTCACTTAGGGCCTTTTCTGGCCCTGTGAATTAACTGCTTAGTTTTAGTTGACAATGCATTTAAGGTCAAGATCTAGTAAATGAAAGGTGCCTACAGATTTCTCAAATTTGAGAAATGAATTCCTTTAATGTTGCTTTATAACTATACCTTAGAAAACAAAAGTGTATCGTGGCTAAATTTCCATGTACTCTCGACGTTTTCAATGAAAGTTGAAAAAAATCAGATATAGATATGGGATTTTTTTTTCCATATCAGACAAAAGAAATGTACCCAGATTACCTACAGTGTCCAAGAAAACGGTAATTTACATATTCTTGACCTCTTCTTTAAAATGCCATTAAACTATTTAACATCCAATGTATGTATGGGGATTACTTTAGACATAATTTCAAATTGAATTCCATAAAAATGCTTTATTTTCTACATTATTTTATTAAAACCGTAAAGTACTTGGAAAAGTAAGTTTAAATTAATGTCATAATAGATTTACCACCAAACAGACAGTCTAAACATATATATTTACATTTGCAAATATTTTTCTAGATGAACCTATTGAGAAAATATGTTCAATTCTGTATGAACTTATTAGGGGGGTTAGAGGTCATAACGTGACCGAATCACACGGCGAGAAGATATCTTGCCTACATATTTCTGTCACAGTGACTTCTAACTCGATAGCGATCAAAAGGATGAAATAGTTGAAACATACGGATGTTTTTCATTCAACATATGTTCGTTACATCTTCCTTCGGTGTGAAGAATGTTTTAATTAATACAATTAGCCTAAAATCGAGTTTACCTTTTTAACCCGAAATTCCTTAGGTTTGAAGGTCTGTATGTAACTGAAACAGGCATACACCGCTTTTTACTTAAAATATACTAGTGTTAATTAATCTTAGATTAATCTTAGTAGCGATCATTGTTTTTTTCATTATAAACAGATATTTCTAGAACATCCATGTAAATATTTAAATGTTGGAGCGAAACAACTTCTAAGGTCATTTCGCGTCACAACATAGCAATACGACGGGCCGTTCGTGTAATAAATGCAGTTCTATTCGGAACATTCGTCTCAAATGTAAATATAAGTAATAAACAACAATGTTAAAAAGTTCACTGGGAAATGAACTTGGTTGGTATATGATCAAATCTACTGTCTGAGAAGCCTTTATTTTTTTTTTATTTTTATTTTTTTTTTCTCTCTCAATATTTTGTATAGAGTACAAGCCTGATCCAAATTATGCAATTATATAAGGATAAAACTATTTTTGAAGATAACAAAGCACGTTTAATTTTTTGGATTGAGGGATGTGATCATGTTTTAATTCTTTCCAGGGGTACTAAAATAAACATGTATGTTTTCTCAGACTGTAAAATTCACGAACATTGCAATTTAACAAAGCCCATTTTCAAATACCTGGACTCTCAGCTGAAACATTGTTATTGGAAGTGAAAGCACTACGTCTATACCTTATATTAATGTTTGAAATGGGTTGTAGTCAATAAATTGGTATACCTATAGGGCCATTTTATTCATAAAGAACTTAGCTCTTTGCCCATATTTTCATTCTTACAATGAAATGTGGTGTAGGAAAGATAGTCTTTCCGATGTGTTTTATGTATATTTGAAATCTTATCATGTGTTATATTGTGAATTCGCCCACTACTTAGAACAACTGCATTAAATCCCAATATTTGAGTCACTTAATACCTTTATGCTGCCATATGAAATTTGAAGGGCTATTATTGGACAAATTTAAAGTTAATTAGCTGCATATTAGTTGAAGATAACAGCAAATCGTGCTCTCTTTTCTGCCTTTTCCAATATTGTTATGCTCAACAGCTCAGAAGATTCACTTGAGAATTTTTTTTTTTACCTTTCACAATTCATAGATCTAATCATCAATGCACAATACACACACGGTTGATTGATTGATTGTATGATGTTTTACGTCCTTTTCGAGAATTTTTCACTCATATAGAGACGTCACCATATACCGATGAAGGGCTTCAAATTTAGACCTTTACTCGGATCTCATGGTCATTGACAAGTGAGGGTTCTTTATTGTGCCAACGCCTACCGTGACACGGGGCCTCGGTTTTTGAGGTCTCATCCAAAAGACCCGTAACTTGCACTTCAAAGTGCCGAGCGCTTGGCGAAGGAACAGTTGCTACCTATTTTTTATCGACTTAGGTCAGTCGCGGTCGTGATTCGAACACACGACCTTCCGATCACGGAGCGAGTGCTCTACCGACTGAGCTACCGTGACGGTCTACATACGGTTGAATGAATGGTTCCATGGCACGCTAGGTGTCTCCCTTGACTTTTAAAAGCACACACGTTTGAAAGACTGCTTCTATGAGTCAAGGGAGACACCTAGCATACCATAAGTGCCATGGAACCCCATGCCGACACGCATTGTGGTTAGGTACCCAATCTGCCCTGTACTTGGCTTGTCACCTGGTTTAGAACTCTAACATCGATTACTATGTAGTTTGTAGCCTCTTTTCCTTTTATAGAGATATAGAGCTTCTGGACACTGAAATATTCGAAGTTAATTGTCAGTGGAGAATCTTTTAAAGTCATCTGGTTTACTTAATTTACTACGTAATACTTCCACCTGTTAACAATACGTTTTAGCTGATAAAGCTGTGTTTTCAAACAAGCAAGATTTGTTTTAAATGCTTTTATATTTGTTATTTGTATCTACCTACCTACCTATCTTCTTCATCGGTGTCCCACTTTGTTCAATTATGTACAGTGTCTGTGCTTAGCAAATGTACGTTATGGATAAAACAGGATGAAAACAAGTAGATGCCTGCGAGCTCTGCTTTGAAGGTAAGTTGGCAGTGACAAGGTGATCTGGTAACTGATTCTATGGTCTGATACCAGATGGAATGAAGGAATGTTCTGTTGGTGACTGTTCTGCAGAATGACGTAATGAGTCGGAGAGTGTGTCCACGGGTCGTGGTACTGAGTGGGTGCAGGTAGGCTTTGCTTGATATGTCCACAAGCACGTACTGTACATGATTTGGTAAATTTGCACTACCTTGAGTACCTTGAGATATTGTAGGGTAGGTCACGCCTATATATATATATATATATATATATATATATATATATATATATATATATATATATATATATATATATATATATGCAATTGACAATTGATACATATGCCTTTTGTTTTAAATTTGGTTGAATATACCTCAGTTTCGTTGACCTCAGTTGCAATGCCATCACGCGTACCTGTATCTTTCGTAATTAATTTTTTTCTTATACATTAATGCCTGTCGATACTTATTTAGAAGCATCAAAATGTTGGATCACGCGATTAAGACAGGAAAAATGATTTCCCCAAATATTTCATTAACAGCATAAAACATAAGCTTCACATAGAGATGTTGCTTACACTCTCCGGAAAAATATTACTTACTAAAACATCTCCCTACATTTTGAAAACACAAGTCTGGATTAATTATATTTTTCATTAAATATTATGTGAATGACGTCATAAAAGCGGACGTGAGGCACAAAATTTTGATTACCTTAATTACGATCTCCTCTTGATAAACTGTGATTACATATGGTGCAGTATGAAGCAAGGAAGTTCAAATCAACCGAGCTATTGACTCTGCAGATCACAGTTTATTTTCGGAACAAATATCCAGGGAAAATATATACATACATACTTTTTATGACACAATTTGTGAACAATAATTAATATCTTTTTATTGTTGAACTTAATTTCAAGCTTATCTTTTATCGATTCATCTTTAGCGTATCATTTTCTATAAAATAAAAAAGATGAAGATAAGGAGCAATAATCGATCTCAATAAATCCACAAACAGTAAAAATCTGTGAACAGGGTATAAACACAAATCTCCGGAAATTCCAGAGGTGGTATCCGGTGCCTAGGAGGAGTAAGCATCCCCTGTTGGCCGGTCCGGGCACATCTGCCATGAGCCCTATGTTTGGATCAGGTGGATGAAAAATTCAGTAGTCAAATTTAGTATAAATCTATCTAAATTAATACCTATACATGGAATTCAAGCAAGAAAAAGAAAAAACTGTCACATCACTATATGCATCTTTAATTCTTGGTAATCCTTCCTTTCTTTTTAAACTCTCATGCCTTGCTCCTTTCTCTTTTCACACCAAACCACTCACTTTCAGCTGTCTAAAATTAAACTCATCATCTCGTTTTATGAATGGAAAATTTAATCTGGCCGTGTATTGTCGACCTGCGGCGGAAGAAGCCTGTGTATCGATTGAGATTCATCCGCCGCCGCATGCCTATATGTTTGACAGTAGAGTAACAACGTGTTTAGAGTGAAATCATCACACGATAGGATAAGGTATACGTGCATAATTTGATTTATCAGCTTATGAATGGACTTGTGGAAAATAACGACTGTGCTTGTGCTATGTGCTTTCTAAGATTCTGGATGAAAAATTTTCAATTCATCTGATACATATTGTTCCTGTCATCTCGTTCCTGTTTGAAGACAAGAATTAAAAAGTTACATCTAATGCCCTGTGCTATGGAGGACTTTTTATTTCGATTTCGTTCGAAATCTGTCTCCTCAAAGAAGAGGCCATCCTCCACCAAAAGTCCAAGCAAGGAGCAGAGGAGGGTCACGTGGAAAGACTCAACGAACGGACATCAATTCCGGCCAAGATGTGCCAGGTTTCTCTCTTTCTCTCTCTCCAAGCATCTCATTAACTAGTTCATTATTTTAGGTGTCTTGAAAAATGATATATTTGTTCTCTTTTCTCCGGTTGATAGAAGTAATGAGTGAAATCTGACATGAAACTTGTTACAATCGCTTTGCCGTGTGTGTATATATATATATATATATATATATATATATATATATATATATATATATATATATATATATATATATATATATATATATATATATATATATATATATATATATATATATATATTTATATATATATATATAAATGCTGCAATCTTTTTTTTAATTGAAAGAAGAAAGTGGAGAGATCAATTCATTTAGATTAGATGTGGTGTGGTTTCAAGTCATTCTTACAAAACAGCATAAATTTCAATTCTTGCAAAATGTATACCAAATAAATTTTAAAGATAAAACCTGTAAGAAATGATCGTAAGTAATGTATAAATAAAAAAAAAATAACGTTCAAGACACTTGTAAAGAATTCTACTCATATTCATGAAGTGTACATTTAGCAGTTTCTAAGCTATGTCACTGATGTTGACGTTTTCAGTGTCAAACAGCTAGACTTAAAGACTGATAATAATTTAGTGTTGGTTGGCATAACGCTAACACGTTTCTGCCACAAGACAGTCCCAGATCACCACACCTCTTGAAATGACAGTTAGAAAGTGTTGAAATCCTTATTCAAAAATTATACTTAACCTCAAATCTGTACATGGATTGACTTGAATATCTATAGAACAATGCAACATATTGACATTTTTTTTAGGGTTTTTTCCCTTTGTTTTATCTGATGATAATTTGAGAGTTTATCATTTATTTATATTAAATTCTTTGAGGATTATATGCATTTATGTTATGTTCCATGTAGGTAATATGTAGACTAATACAACGTAATTTAAGCTTCCCCGGGTATTAAGGGAAATGCAATCAATCGGTAGCGAGGAAGATTTTTTTTTTTTTTTTTTTTTTTTTTGCAAAAGGGAGCTAATGAAAATTTTCCTTTTTTAATAAGGATCATATAGAGGCTTCGATAGTTACATTTATTGACAACGTGTTCTGCGAAAACACTAACACGAGTGTATATACCAGATAATATTAAGAAAATAAAGCAATGTTCTGAAGTTAAAAAATCTTTCTTCCTGTAAAGTGTCAAAACAAGGAAAATATTGCGTAAGAGACCTCTTAGCGATGTCATGTAGCATTTTGTAAAAAGAAAAGTTAATAATGGGCATCCTGAAGGAATAGGGCCCCACTTATGTTACTTCCTATACTAGGAAACAATATATTATGTTCTTTTCCTTTATTAGTTCCCCTTAGTGTCCTTTCCTTTTTAATAAAGAAAAGAGGTCTTTATGATACCATCTACTGTATGACGGTGATAAAGGAATCGCACTTAGCAGACGTCTCGAGACATTCCTGCAATATTTCGCGTGAGTTTCTTATAAGTGACATCATCAAACGTCATTTGTGATGCCTCCGTGTCGACCGTGATCACAGATCTAATTGTTAGTTATAGACCTACATGCATTGTTAAGTTTTTCAATTTCTAAAATTGATTTTTGAAAGCTATTGTTAACAATCACAGGCGATTAAACATTGATTTATGAGTTTAGTTCCTTCTTTTAATGCTTAATGCAATCACAAGTTTTCCCTTATTTGTGGCATATATTCCCAGTAACAAAAACTAATAGTTTTAATTTGCTTTGCAACGAGTTTGAGTGATTACGTACAGTGAACCGAGGTTGAAAAGAAATAATTTTCCGAACTATTAACTAAAACAGGCCAATCGTGTTTGAAAAAAAAATATCAGTTTTGAAATTCACTACATGACTACATATTAAACTATGCTAGTCCCACTGCCACTTACCTACATGAATATATTATGTACCTACCCAAAAGATAATTGCAATTATTGCTATCATCAATAAACCGACATGGTACACTGACGATACCTGCACTCTTTTGATGAAAACACTACATCGTTTATGGTTATCAAAATAGCAACAGACTGTAAAGTTATTTCTGATAAATATATATTATGTTGAAACATTTTTTTCTTACTTCAGCGGAGCTGAAGTGATGAATAGAATATTCTGTGAAACTATCATACTTGTGTGTTGTGGCATATAATATCAATATATAGCAATCATGGAAATCTATATTTATGTAGAAGACTGCAAAAATTGATTTTTTGTTTTCCTAATTTGAAAAAAAAAGACACGAAGATATGCGTAAATTCATCTTATTGATCTGTGTAACTCTGTGTAAGTTGGAGGGCTACTTGTTAAGACGAAAGTTTATGATTGTATGTGTGCGTTTCCTTTTTCGATAAAAGTCAGGGAAATCTCGAGCTTTAAAAAAATCCTTCCTTTTCCATATTTGTATTTAAATTTTTTGAAAATAACATAGAATTTATAAACATTTCCACTTAATCTGGTTTTATTCTGCATATGATCCACTTAATCAATGCTTGCTTTGTGTACTAATAAAGCTGACATTCCATTTACTCGAGTATCAGATAATAACTTGACTCCATCTGGTCATATGAATTTTGTTAAAGACCCTGAAAGACTTATCGTAAATGCGAGGGCAACTTTATCTGTCCATTTGGGCTGTAATGAATATTTTTCTATATTATTTCTAAGCTTGTTTTTTTTAAGAAATTATGTTAGCTTCTGTGCGTTATGTGCTATTCTTTATTTTTGTCTTTCCGGTGATTTTATAAGCTAAACACCAACTTTATTTTTTGGCTCTTCTAACTAGACGTTGTCATAGGACACTAATAGCTGCACTTAGATGTTTGCCTTTGACTGTATTCACCTTCTCATTTGGGTAATGAGTGAAGAAGTCGCAATACTTTTTAAATAACAAAACATTCGGTTTTCAACCCCAAATCGCCTTAAGGGTGAAAATCGAAATTATGAAACCTAAATGTACATACATGTATACAGGACATACTCAGTTTTCTTCCAAATATGACTGAGCTGCTGTAAAAATTGTAAGAGGAGTCCAACAAAGTGGAGTAGGTTTTTGTTAAAAAATCATTATTATACCACCATATGGCTCCCACAGTAAAAAAAACAAAATTCTGAAACCGTATTGCACATAGACAAGACAGCACCAATATTTTCCAAAAGATGAGTTTGTTACTGCAGAAGATGCAAGAGGAGTTCAAGGCACCAGGTTTTTGTAGAAAAACATCTTTTTTCCACCCCCTCCCCAACTCGGTGTCTCCAAGGTGAAAATCGACGTTCAAACCCTTATTGCACATTTAGAGGACACTCCCAATCATATTCCAAAATATAAATAGGCTACTGCGAAAAATGTAAGAGGTGTTCATGGAACCAGGTTTTTGTTGAAAAAGGACGCTTTTTGACCCCCCACCCCACCCCTTCGGGTGATAAATCGAATTTTCAAAACCTTGTTGCACATCTATAGGACACAACCAAATATTTCCCAAAGATGATGTGGCTACCGCAAAAGAAATGTAAGAAGCGTTCAGGGAACCAAGATTTTGTATAGAAAAATGTTTTTTAACTCTCGATCGCCCCCAAGGAGAAAATTGAAATTCTAAAACCTTATTGCACAGCTAGAGGACACTCCCAATCATTCCAAAAATGAATCGGCTACTGCGAAAATGTATGAGGAGTTCAAGGAACAAGGTTTTTGTAGAAAAAATGACGCCTTTGACCCTGAATTGCCCCAAGGGTGAAAACAGAAATTCCGAAACCTCATTGCATATCTACAAGACACCATTAATCATATTCTAAAAGATGATTTGGCTACTGTGAAAAATGTAAGAGTAGTTCAGGGAAGCAGGTTTTTGTAGAAAAACACTCTTTTTTACCCCACATTTTGGACATGTTCAAGGCACCACAAATCATATTCTAAAAAATGTATAGAGTGGCGACTAGTAGTAGTAGGAAGAAGGAAGTGCGAAATACGGATGGACGGATCAGGATAACAATATACTTGATATTTTTTTTTAGCCAGTGCGGGTATAATAAGCAGCTGAGACGATATTATTAAACAAGGCAGGATATAGAGTATATTCTTCATCAACTACGTTTAACATTGTTCAACATATATGTTATATGAATATATTGCCACGTAGTGTAGTTTCTCTTTGCTTTACAATTCTTTTTGTAAACTGGCCAGAAAATCATTTTTCTACAAAAATAAAGCATCAGGAGTTTAAATTCAAATTATAGTAGTGATCCCACTATGAAAATGATTTAATAGTTCACAATCCTGTGTTCCACAAAATGTTTATTAGATTGATTAAACTAAATTTTATGCATCTTTTGCTGTCAATCCTTCTCTATATGATTTAATTTGTAATAGGAAATGGGGAATACATGCCCTCTGTGGAACTTTTATGTGTTATTTCTTCCTGTTGTATAAGGATTTAATAGCTCGAAAACGCACGACTTCTAATCAATACGCATCAATATCTTTAAAAAATCAAAACAATTTTTACAAAGAAATCTTGATTTAAGTTATTTCTGACCAAAAAAATCACTGAATACTCAAGTGAGATTAAAAAAAGGTTGTGTTAAACTAAAAGATTCAGACCCTTTTCACTTTTTATGATGCGTAATTGAACAATATTTCCGAGTGAGCTGATCAATTTTTGCTTTAAAGCTAGTTTAAAATCACGGCTAAGTATAGTCATTTATCTAAAATACATATTTTTTGGAGTTTCACTTAAGTGTTATGTGTGTATATTTCATTGATCTAAAATGGCTTTTTAACAGCTTTACTAAGAAAAAAAACTCTAACATTCAGAAGTTGCATTAGAGTCCATTAGTGGACAAGTTTTAAAAGAATATCCATCACTGTTGATACTGCAGATTGTTATGTACCTTTATTTGGAAAAAAAGTTCTATCAATTAAAATACATAAAACTTCTTTGATTTATGATCTATTTCCTCCATCTGCATGTTGACGATTGTTAGTCAGTAACTATAAAAAAAAAGTTGCAGTCTAGGATCAAAAATATAAAATATGACAATGTATATTTTCTCTTTAACAAGGTCTTCTATACATATGTCACACATAAGGTATTTAATACAGCTGATATTAAAGTAAGTCCCATCTAAATCATATACCTAGCTGTTTTCATTTGAAAGATGTAGGGAACCGTCACGATAACTCAGTCGGTACATGTAGAGCGCTCGCACTGTGTTCATCAGGTCGTGGGTTGAAGCTCAGGCAGCGACAGACGTAAGTCGATAAAAAGGGCAACACCCGTTCCTTGCCAAGCGCTCGGCACTTTTGGGTCTTTTGGACGTGTTTGCGCGATAAAGATTCCTCACTGTCCAATGACCCTGAGTACCGAGTAAAGGTCTAAATTTGGAGCCCTATACCGGTATATGGTGAAGTCTCTATGTGAGTAAAAATTCTCGAATTGGACGTTAAACAACAAACAATCAACTGATCAATCAAAGAACTTGGGCGTATTAGGCGGAATACATAAGGTTTTATTAACTATTACCAGCCAAAGCATTAACTTATCTATAAAATTCTTGAAGTTTAAAAAAAATTGAATGTATTTTCCTTCCTTTTAGGGATAATACTTTAAACTGTAAAATGCAAGTGTATTGTAATAATGTTACAAAACTTGAAGATCTACGATTGCACTGTTCGATCTGCTGTGAATAACATCTTTTCCGTGCAAATGGTTCATATGTAAGCTCTGTTATTCTAGTCTATATTTTGTTTCAATTTTTATTGCGATTGATAAATAAATTATATTTTAAATTGGCAGGACATTTCTGTTAAGATGCAAATAACTTGTTTCTGGTTCACGATCAAAAGATTATGGTAATAAGTGTAAAAATAAGATCGCTTCTTCCGTGGAAATGGTATTTTTACTCATACAGTTTTCTGTTTGATTAAAAAGCCAGCGTATACTATATATTTCTTTCAAGATCGACTCTTTCTTTTCTCCCAATATGAAAAGATATTCGGAAAAAAATATTTATCTAAAAAAGAAAAACAGCAGCAAAAAATAAAAAAAACCATCTACTAGTATCTATTTATTATGACTTGTAACTAATATCTGTTTCAGGATTTGTCTGTGTTTGTGACCATAAAAATAAAGAAAACTCTTTGTTTGATTTATTGAACACTGTTTGAATATTTGCCGGAATTAAGAGATTCTGGGCAACTGCTGCACTTTTTTTTCACATACCGTCAACCTGGAATAACACGAGGCAGTCAAATTACGGGTCGTTAAGTTTTGATTTATTTTTGTTTCCTGATGTTGTTTGATTTAATTAAACTTGCTCATTAACCGTGTAAATGGGTCCTGAAGACCTGGTGATAATACATGAATTATCAGAGTAATTTGCAAGAGTCAGGATTAGGTCAAATAGCCCTTGTATTTTGTTACGTTGAAAACATAGATAATGAAGACAAAATATGTTTCCCGTCGTAATCAATTTTGCAAAAAATCGATTACTATTGCGTGATTTGGGAAGAGGAAATCAAAGAGGAGGGTAAAACAGATGTTTTGTCGATAAGGCTGACACAAGGACGGTGTTTCCGTAGACTAGAGTGGGTCTGAACGACAAATTTCCTTTCCACGCAATGAAATGAAATAGTCAAAAAAGGGTTCAATACTCCTTCTTCATTGTCCGAGATTCAATCCAACTCGATTGCTGGGTCAAACAATCTTTCAGCCGCCATGAAATTAACAAAGAGATATAGTCGTGGTGACCTTCTTTGATAATCTGTCTAAGAATTGTACACATGAGCAATACAGCCTGGGTGGGAATCATAAAAAAGAAATGAGAAATATTAAGTCAACAAATTCTGCACATTTTTTTTTTATTAACAAGTTAATTTTATTACTTAATACTCAATGGAACACACTTTATTCTATCGAGCGCAAACGCTTTAGGTAATTTTTTAATACGTCTGATTAGATTTTACACATGATAATCCAGGGATGGACTATGTGTTTTTCCCTTTAAATATACCTTTTTTTTCTCTCTTTGCAGCACTCCTGCAACCGATTTGACTGTCAGACGAGATGCTTTCAGCAGACGACAATATGGCTCCGTGGAAACGGTAAGCCTAAATATCGTAGTCTCTCAGTGAAATGGCTAATGATAGGGAAATATAGCGTGAGGGTATACACCTACTCTTATTAGACATTAAACGTTTTAGAAGCGTAACCTGTCCTTGTACAAAGAATTAAATTTTGAATTGGAGAAGTAGGTGATTGTTAAATAGAACGCACAGGAAGTAGAAAGAGTGCAAGAACTTCGAGTAAGCTAAAGCGTGACTAATTTAAACATTTTAAAGAACCTTGTAAAAAGAAGTAAAAATTTGGCATGTCTTTTTTATGCTGCCATTTGTTGTATTCAGTAGCAGCAAGGTATTTTTTTGGTTATATCATTGATTCTTGATCCTGTGGGAAATCTTTTTGAACTTGTTACGTAATAAAATCTAAATGAAATACTTAAATGGGTATTATTCTTCAAACAGGCGACTATGCTACTGCAACTCTAACTTTTTAATGATGCAGTGAATTGATCTAACGCTTTGTTTTGCAATTACAATTGACATTTCCTGATGATATCAAAGCATTTAAAACAGATTTTGTTTAGTTATATTTAGGAATTCAATTATCTTTGAATTTTTTGAAGAACATAAATAATGACAAACATAGAATACCAAAATAAAAAAATAATAGTAATAATAATAACGAGTGCTAATTGTAACGGAAACCGTTACAGATGTTCCCCAAACGTCTCCCCAATCCCTTATTATGCCCCATTCCCCACAAGCTTCGTTGAATTAGGCAATACTTCTGTAATATAGATGGACACTTTAATTTTAAGGGTATTTTATTCGAAAACTGCTGCGAATAGCCATATGGGTATTAGCCGATCAAATTTCAGCGCATGTGCTTGCATATGTTTTCTACATTTTTCACATAAATTTTCTTATAGTGCCTCAAAATATATACATTTGTATTAAATATCAAAGAAATTCATTTCGAATAACGAACTTAAAGAAACTGTTATAACGAATTAAATTCATTACAACAAATTCGACAATTCGTTATATCGAATTCTAAAATATTTTTTGATAGGTCCTAAATGGGCTTTCGTACTTTTCTGTGTTAGCATAAAATAATTATTGACTTGAACAATGATTGATCCCGTAAACCATTTCCAAATTGATTTTGCTTAATGTAAGACACAAAAATTAGTTATGATTCATATATAAACAAATATACAATATGCCCTTATTAGACATGCTGATAGGTAGAACATGGCTCATTGAATGAACCAATTGTTCAAAATGCTTCTACGAAATAGTCGATTGAACAGAATAAAAAAAACTACTTTTGTTTTATTATTTTTGCATCAATTTATAAAAAATCAATGAATATATCAAAACTGCAATCCTGACAGTCGATTAACGGTGATACTATATGTAAATTCTTAGTAAAACTCGGTATTTCAACACTAAGTATATTGAAATCATAACAGGTGAGTTGTTCTCAAACTGCATTTTCGATAAAATCTTACAAATTAAAAGCTAGGACTTTCTCTTCAAGATTTCACATATACATTTTTCAGTAGAATGCCGGGTTAAAAGATTTGATCAGTTTAAATGCTTTGCTGAAAAAAGTTTATCTAATCACTAGAGTGTGATAGTAATAGGTGAACATTAGTTACATGTAGTTTGTTTGTTATTTTATGTCCCTCTCGAATTTTTCACTCATATAGAGACGCTACCACTTGCCCGTTATGACTGCAAATGTAGACTTATATTCGGCACTCAGGGCCATTGAGCAGTGAGGGATCTTTTTCGTGCCAGCAACTACTGCGACACGAAACCTGGTTTATACGGTCTTATCCGAAGGACCAGTCGCTACGTCCCACAGTGGGACTCGAACCCGGGACGCAAGGATCAACACCTTACACCGCGACTCTAGAGCAAACGCTCTTAACACTGCGCCACGCGGGCGACAGTTAGATAACATAATGTTACTCATAATATGCACATTATACATATACATGGTGTATTAGTATCTTTGTGCTCCTAGAGGTGTAACTAATATTAGATCATTGTTTTTACTAGATTCCGAAGTATTGTCATGGATCTTTATGGTAAAATATTGTCAGATGACTTTTTACGATGCTCTCATTGCACAAATTTCTCCTATTTCTTCGCTATTTAAACATAAAAAGCCATTGAACAATAAAAAGCTCCTGCATCACTTCTTAGAATGAAATCACTCATTCAATACATTATATGTACCTTCATTTACCAAATAATTGAATGATTTCAGCTAACCTTCCAATGAATTATACATACTAGTTTTGTAAAAAAAAAACGTCATGGTTTCCTAGATATTAATTCTATTTAACCACACAAGAGTGAATCCTGTTGAATTTGATCATCGAATGCGGTGTTAGTTGCCCGAGTTGAAGCTGATAAGGTACTCGTGTAACCTGAAATCCCCATTGAAAATTCAAATATCGAGAGCCTACTTCAATGTCGAGCAATGAATAATGCATAAAGGCTTTTATTCGTTCATATAACACAGATCAGATGGTTGATAGAGAAAGAATGAAGATATAATAACTGTTCAGCCTAAAACTTTGATGATATGACATGAGCTTAAGTGCACATATGGTAAATCTCAACTATGTTATAACATACTCAGCAAGCTTAGTCTATGTCGTATACAAAATTATATGCTGTGTAACTAGATTTTTGTGAAAATGTAGCTTTTCATTTCTATTTTTTAATAAATATGCAGGAGATGAGTTTACACAATGATGTGTCGGGTATTTTGGACGACCTTTCTTAATAATGATTTGATGAATTCTGAGAAATGGCTGTCCTCTTTATCATGTTGAATATGAAATCTTCCTTTTCTGGAAATATGCAAAATTGTTGTGTTTCAGTGAATGTATTCCAGAAGTGATTTTGTCGTCCAGATAACTTGATTAACATTACTATGTACATGTGTATATACATCAATGAAATATTTTACTCCTGGTGTTTACAGCCTTATCATCTATAGTATAAACCTGTAATTAATTTCTAAACCATCAACTTGTTTTTAATATATGATAAATCTCAGTGCACTAGTATTTCATATTTTTGGGTCTGTGTATTGTTAAGCTTGCAAATCGATCTAAACAACAAAGATCTTTTTTTTTTTCTTTTCTTTCAAAAATACGTTGACAAGAATAAAAGAAATTGCAATTACCTTCGATAGTTTTAATAGTTTTTGTATATTTTTTTTCAGTTAACATTACTGGACGATGATAGTAAAAGCCAATCGGCAGGCAGGTTCCGGATTGAAACGGGAGATTTGGAAGGTAGCGAGGAGGTGAGAACAGTACGGATAGTATAAAAATCACGTAGTGAAGAGGTAAGATTAGTACGGGTGGTATAACAGTCACGAAGCGAAGAGGTGAGAACAGTACAGGTAGTATAACAATCATGAAGAGAAGAGGTGAGAACAGTACGGGTAGTACCGGTATAATATCACGTAACGAAGATGTGAGAACAGTTCCGAGTGGTATAACAGTCACGTAGCGGAGAGGTAAAAACAGTACGAGTGTTATATCGGTTACATGGCGAAGAGGTGAGAACAATGTGGTATGACAGTCATATAGCGAAGAGGTAAGAACAGTTCGGGTTTTATAACAGTCACATACAGTGTAGCGAAGAGGTGAGTACAGATCTGAGTGGTAAGAAGAATCGCGTAGCACAGGTCCAGCGCAATACCCTGATAAAGGTATATAGCTTGATAAAGCTATATAGCTTTATCAAGGTATTACAAATACCTTGATCAAGGTATTTTATGTAATGAAAATACAAAAAAATTCTAAAAAAAAAAATAAATAAATACTGAAAGTCGAGTTTTGAGTTGTTGTCATTAAATTCACTCATGCTTGTAAAGTACTCAAACACAAAGAAATCGGTATAAAAGCATGTCATGTGAGGAGACGTTCTTTTATGCTGCCTTTTTGATACCTGAGTACTTTTCATGCACGAGTGAACACACTGACCACAACTCATAATTCTACTTTTAAATTTAATTTTTTAAGATTTTTTTTTTTTGGTATTTTCATTACATAAAATACCTTTATCAAGGTATTTGTAATACCTTGATAAAGCTATATAGCTTTATCAAGCTATATACTTTATCGGGGTATTGTGCTGGACCTGTAGCAAAGAGGTGAGAACAGTACAGGTAGTATAACAATCATGAAGAGAAGAGGTGAGAACAGTACGGGTAGTACCGGTATAATATCACGTAACGAAGATGTGAGAACAGTTCCGAGTGGTATAACAGTCACGTAGCGGAGAGGTAAAAACAGTACGAGTGTTATATCGGTTACATGGCGAAGAGGTGAGAACAATGTGGTATGACAGTCATATAGCGAAGAGGTAAGAACAGTTCGGGTTTTATAACAGTCACATACAGTGTAGCGAAGAGGTGAGTACAGATCTGAGTGGTAAGAAGAATCGCGTAGCACAGGTCCAGCGCAATACCCTGATAAAGGTATATAGCTTGATAAAGCTATATAGCTTTATCAAGGTATTACAAATACCTTGATCAAGGTATTTTATGTAATGAAAATACAAAAAAATTCTAAAAAAAAAAAAAAAAAATAAATACTGAAAGTCGAGTTTTGAGTTGTTGTCATTAAATTCACTCATGCATGTAAAGTACTCAAACACAAAGAAATCGGTATAAAAGCATGTCATGTGAGGAGACGTTCTTTTATGCTGCCTTTTTGATACCTGAGTACTTTTCATGCACGAGTGAACACACTGACCACAACTCATAATTCTACTTTTAAATTTAATTTTTTAAGATTTTTTTTTTTGGTATTTTCATTACATAAAATACCTTTATCAAGGTATTTGTAATACCTTGATAAAGCTATATAGCTTTATCAAGCTATATACCTTTATCGGGGTATTGTGCTGGACCTGTAGCAAAGAGGTGAGAACAGTATGTGTGTTATAACAGTCACGTGGCGAAAGAATCGAAAGTTCAACTAAATGAAAATTGCAAGTGCGGAGGCAGTGAATATGCAAAGATATGTTACAGTCCAAACAAAGTTTCAAGTGATAATGCATCGTTATTTGAGAACACAAAATATTTACGAAAATTTCTCGTTATATACAATAAATTTGAGTGTCTTGTGTTTGCGAAAGGAAAATTGAGTGTTAAAATAAACAAGATTGATTTGCAATAATTTACATGTCATTTTCATACGATATTATTAACCTATGATAAACAATAATTGACCGTTTGATTGTTTACAAACAGATTTGTAGATAAGGTTCACATGACCCTATTGAACGTACAATATCTTGAGTCTAATTCCCAGTCTAACTTTTTACGCTTGGTATTCAGTTTTGATTGATTGATGTTATGTGGTTTAACGTCCCATTCGAGAATTTTTCACTCATATAGAGACGTCACCATATACCGGTGAAGGGCTTCAAATTTTGACCTTTACTCGGCACTCAGGGCCATTGAGCAGTGAGGGATCTTTATCGTTCCAACGCCTGCCACGACACGGGGCCTCGATTTTTAAGGTCACAGCGAAGGACCCGCAACTTTCAGTTCAAAGTGCCGAGCACATGGCGAAGGAACAGTTGCTACCCATTTTTTATCGACTTACATCAGTCGCGGCCGAGATTCGAACTCACGACCTCCCGATCACGGAGCGAGCGCTCTACCGCCTGAGTTACCGTGAACGGTGTATTCAGTTTTGAAAGTTATATGCATTTCAAAAAAACAAAATATCCCATAAATAAGTTGGGTTTTGAATATATGTTAGTCTTATACTAAGAAAGCAACATGGAGTGAGGTTCCGTATCCCTCATGACTTAGCTATACGCGGTAATGATTATAATGTAACTATATAGAAGGCAGCTGTCTTACTAAAAATATCATTAATGTAAGACTGCCTGCTTAACCTTAGTCGAAGATTAAAATTATATAATGTTTTAACATCCTTCCTAATTAGCATAATTAGCCAAATGCTTTTTTTTTTTTTTACTTTTGATTGATTGATTGATTGTATATTGTTTTACGTCCCATTCGAGAATTTTTCACTCATATAAAGACGTCACCATATACCGGTGAAGGGCTTCAAATTTTGACCTTTACTCGGCACTCAGGGCCATTGAGCAGTGAGGGATCTTTATCGTGCCAACGCCTGCCGTGACACGGGGCCTCGGTTTTTAAGGTCTCATCCGAAAGACCTGCAACTTTCACTCCAAAGTGCCGAGCGCATGGCGAAGGAACAGTTGCTACCTATTTTTTATCGACTTAGGTCTGTCGCGGCCGAGATTCGAACTCACGACCTCCCGATCACGGAGCGAGCGCTCTACCGACTAAGCTACCGTGAACGGTTTTTTACTTTTGAATATTTTTCGGTAGTAAGTCATAATATGGTCGGCATCCTGATATGAATGGGTTTTATTTGATTACCTATCAAAAGATCAATTCATATTAAGTATAATTTCATTATTTTTTAATAAAGGTTTCAAGCAAGTTTCTTGTTTGAAAACAAAAACGGTAATTTTTGTTAGCCTCCTACGACGATTTTTGGTATTTTACCAGATTAGATGGCACCGCACGCAGCTGTCATTCTAAGTCCTGGGCAATGATTTATCATGTCTAAGATTCTTTGTCTTCAATATAGCATTTTAAAACTGTGGCAAATATATACCTGTACAAACAGATATTACTACGTGTAACTTAAGGTTGTTACAAACAAACAAAAGAGATACATAGATTGTGACATATTTCTAAACTTATTTTGATTGTAAATGATACAAATATCAAATTTCTAAATATTAAGAAATTGAAAGATTTTCTGTGATGTTAATAATCACACCTTTTTGCTTTTTTTCAATTAACGTAGATTTGATGTATCGCGATTTTTAAAAAAAAAATATTGTTTGTACCAAGTGGCTTTATACATTCGATAATTCTTTTAAATAGTTGATCTATGGTTATATCATCACGATTATGAAAAGTCAGTCCCTTCTATAATAGCACTGCTTCTCATTAAATGTGTTGCCAAGTAAAACAGGTAGGTTTTCAACTCAAGAAGGGACATTGGCCTATCAGTCAATGTTGGATAAGAATATTGTCATTCAATGAGAAACAACATACTTATCCGTTGCAAGCTTTTTTTTTCTAATTCTCTCCTATCAAATAAGATTATAACACCGTAAAATGTTTACTGGCTCCAAAGACTAATCTTTACATTATTAGCTTTTTTACAATGTGTTGTTTGGTTTTGAAGTTTGATTTTATTCCATTGATTTATATATTTTTTTTGCGAGAATTTATTCAAAATGTATGAAAAACATTGAAGGTCTAATCCTACGCAAGATGTGAAATATATGTCTTCTTAAAGTGCCCTCTGTTTGACAATTTCAATATATATATTTTTTCTTTGAACAATCTGTTTTCTTTGCTTTTAACAGGTTTCCAGCCCTATCGCTAGCCCTATTCATCTAGAAAATCCAGAATTTCAGACTCGATGGTATTTTAAATATTTCCTTGGTAAACGTAAGTAATTCAAATGTTTTTAGTTTGCCTCGGAAAATGTTCTTTTTCATATTTTCTTAACAGTATCAGTTTTAATTTAAATTCGCTTCTCATTTTTCCTGCCTGTCGTTATTGATGTACAGCTTCAGTTTGATTTTTCACTATAATGCTTCTTTCAGTCTTAATGTCTTGGCTGAAAAGTACAAAAATAGACATGCAGCAAAAAATACCTATACATTGGTTCAATTCTATTAAAACTTCCCCTTTTAGACTTTGCATATACAACGGAAAATATAGATGTAACTATTTGTCAAAACGAAATAAATCAACACACCCGAAGTTCAAATTTTCATCAAAAATAATTTCTATGATAGTTTCTTTGCAGTAATAAAAGGCGCAGTAAGGCATCGCAAGCTAAATCAGTCAATTGAAATTAAAAGTGCGGCAAAGATACAAAATCGACATTGACAACAAAATGTTTCACGAAGTGAAGAGTCTCGAGTAAATGTAAAATTCTCGACAACGATACGTAAAATAAGGAAACCAGAGAGAGAAGGTGATAAAAAGACAATGACAAATATTCCTCGGGGATTCATAAAAAAACAAATATATTAAGCTTGTTCGAAGGAAATAGGGAAAATAAAACGAATGTTCCAGCTAGCGGTGTAAACAGAAAATAATCTCTTCGTTCAAAACAAGTACACAGCTTTAATGATGATGCACTTTAATTAATCCTTTTTTTTATTCTTACATTCATCAACATTTTATTTTGGATTAGCTTGCAGATATTGTTCGTTATTCTTGTATTTAGTTATCTGTAACAAAGAAAAGCCACCGCGTTCAAAACACTTACGATGTCGCCGGCTAATTCTCACCTCACTCGTATAACTTTGTCCTATTCAGACGCAACGTGATAATATGCACTTCAAAAACAATTCAGTCATTAGATATATTGTTGTAGCACTGTACTATTGTCCCCATCTCTCTCTCTCTCTCTCTCTCTCTCTCTATGTATAATTTATCTATTTCCATGTTGTTACCCTGCAGTCCATTTGTTTCACTTCTTTTTCCCAAATTTCATTATATGCAACATCAAAAGTCATTATTTCTTTGGAGGATTTTGATTTATTTTCTTTTTTTAAATTTGTGTTGAAAACAAAATGTATTTAAAATTCAGTCTTATGAGACAAAGGATTATCTTGCCCTATGTTTACACCAGTGGATATCCTCTATATACATTAAGCCTACGCAAAATGAATTTGAGAAATATATAAGTATTCTGCCTTCGGTTCCTGAAAATCCTTGTAAGACCTTTCTTTCGTTTTTTTATTGTACGGATATTTATGGGTTTTAGAGTGACATTTATGTTTTTCAGAAAGAAATAATTCTAACTTTAGAGATTTGGCTGTCAAGTTGTTATTATCTTCTATTTAAGTCTATTAGATGTTACATGTACTTTTTAAACCTTGAACGAAAGAAAACATTGTCTTGTCTTAAATACAAAGAATTAAAATGTTTTAGATGCGTAAATATACTTACCTTGTCACTGGTCATTTACAAAATTATTTTGTTAAAAAACACTCTGATTGTACACACAAGTACTCTGAAATTGATATTAAAAAGATGCTTGAGTTTCTGATTGACAATATCTAGTATGTAGTTTTTGGAGATCAGATCTTCCAACAATCTGTTGGAATTCCCATGGGTACCAATTGCTCCCCCTTATTAGCAGACCTATTTTTGTATTCATATGAAGCAGAATTTATTCAAAAACTTCTACATGAGGAGAAGAAAGCACTTGCTGTGGCCTTCAACTCGACATTTCGATATATCGACGACGTAGTATCAATTAACAATAGTTAATTTCATTCATATGTCGACTCGATATATCCCAGTGAGCTTGAAATGAAAGATACCACAGATTCTGACACATCTGTTTCATATTTAGATACTTTACTAGAAAAAGACGTTAATGGTAACCTAACAACAAAGCTTTATGATAAACGTGATGACATCAACTTTTCAATCGTCAACTTCCCTTACTTCCCTGTAGCAATATACCCTTATCACCTGCATATGGGGTTTATGTCTCTCAGTTGATTCGATACGCCAGAGCATGCTCTACGTATGAACAATTTCTGAAACGAGGCAAGCTATATATTGACGAACAATTTGACGAAACAAGGATATCATCAATCTCTTTTGAAGTCATCTTTTCGCAAGTTTTTCGGTCGATACAATGACTTTGTCAGCACGTACAACTGTCATTGAGTCAAATGCTGACTGACTTTTTCATACTGATTGTTAGGCCATTATTTATACACTGAACTGTCTACAGATATTTCCGGTTTTTGTTTCCCGATCATGACAAGGAGCATACGGCTGGTGTGACCGGTCGGTAGGGGATGCTCACTCCTCCATGGCACCTGATCCCACCTTTAAATTTTGAGGTCCGTGTTTGCTCTGCTCCAAATTCGTATCGTTTCATTGGACTTTTGAGATTGAATACTGTTCGTTATGAAGTATTTCATGCATGTGCATGTAGTATATGTATACAATTGAGACCAAATTAATTATGTTTTTATCAGGGAACTAATAAAATCACAACCTGCTTAGAGAGAAATAAATAATGGAAGATTACACATACATTAAAATTTTATTTAAAGCTAAATCCTTTTAGGAAAATCCATATAGATATTTTAAACCTCATTTACATTTTCTAATAGATTATTTTATTTATATCATATTCTGTTACGGGAGGGGTTGAAATGGTTAATATGATAATTATGCACTCCGACTTTATTTTCTTTCAGTTCATCAGAACTACGTTGGAATAGACACGGACAAGGACCCATTCATACTGTCTGTGGTCGTCACGGACGCTAATAACCATAACGTTCCACAGTATAGAGCCGTACTATGGAGAAAAAATGTAAGTTAGTTACTGATAACCATAACGTTCCACAGTATAATATGCATAATAGTATGATAACCATAGCGTTTGACAGTATAGAACCTTACTATATAGGAAATGAAAGATAGTTAATGATAAACCTAGTGTTCCACAGTATAGAACTGTGCTATGGAGAAAACATGAAACTTTTTAACTGTTAACCATATGTTCCATAGTACAAGTTTGATGCAGTAAAATTTGATTTTTTTTCATGAAGCTTTTAATCAAAATTTGAATTCAGGTGACCAGAAACATTAATATAAATTATCTAGATTCTGTTAGAATACGTACAGTAACTGTTAGTTAATTCTTTTTCATAAATAATGTTCCCTAAATTCCGTCTTTTCTTTACCGTTTGTTTGGATGTATGTACATGTATGTCATTCCTATCAACATCCATTTCCTGAGTATTTTACTGTATGTTCTGTGTCCTTGTGTTTTTCCTTCCTGCATTTGGTCTATGTAAGTTTTGTGCAGAAGGTTTAGTCAATAGAGACTTGAACTTCGATATTCGAAAGGACAATATATATTCTCAGGCAACCTCTGGCAAAACATTAGGCCATCCAACAATATATTCCCTATTATTTTCGTTGCCGAATTGCGTTGCAGTAAGGCAGACTTGTATAGTCATTAATGCTGCATTTGAATTGTTGAGTCTTATTGCCTTTTTGCTTCCTCTTTGATTGTAAGGTCTTTCTGGATTGTTTAATCATGTGCCCTTCAGTCGATGCGTTTTATCGCTACATTTAGAATCTAATTAAACTCTGCTGTGCTTTGTCTTTTATTACGTTGTATCTTTATTCTTTTTCTAATGTCAGTTTGGATCCTAGAATGTAAATGAGCATTATATTTGTTGGAACAATTTAACGTGTAGACTATGCTTTATCTTTTTATGTCACGGATGACAAAAGATTGAAATGCTCAAGTTCAAATGATTGGCTTTTGTTTTTGTTTTTGTTTTTTTTTAATCAAACTTTAAGATGTAGAAGGAATTTAAGATACAAAGAACCTTTGCCCACAAGAAATTATATAAAATTTTGAGACCATTTTAGAAAAGGTTGCCTGTGGATGTGTGTATTTCTGTAATCACTGGTTATTTATATGAATGATATTTTATTCCACTGTATTCTTCGTTTCTTAGGGGTAAGAAAAAAAAAATCTTTCAGAGAAATAGGGTGAGTTGAAATATTGACTAGCTACAATTACTAGTACATGTAATTACAAACAATGCTCTTTGAAATAGATGGAAAAGTCTACGAGTGGAAACTTTGACGTATACATATATATGAGTCATTCGTCAGTTTTTATGTACCTACGCTCACTGTATATACTGACATCGGCGACTATATGTGGCGAGACAAGTCTTTTTCTGTCTGCAGAATGGGCAACACAATGTACCTACCATGACTGTATATACTGTAATCTATCAGTACATATTGACACCGGCGACAGTATGTGTCAAGATGATTTTTTTTCTCTCCCTGCAGATTGGGTGACAAAGTGTTTCTATATCGAGGTCAGCGAAGATGTTTGCTACATTTTTATATTTTTTTCGCTAAAAGTATTCCTTGAAGAGTATTGTACTGGGGTGAGAAGTGGAGAAAGATATATTTAGTATTTAAAATTAATTAAAATTAATCATGTTAATTGCACCATTATCCCTCTTTAGAGTGCGACTTGTATTTTATATATGGCATTTTATTGCAGCTGCTTTGTTAGAGATAAAAATGACATCTGTGTGTTTTAAACTTTGATTTTCTTTTAGTGAACATACAATTTCATGATAACTGAAGATCTGAATATATGTTAACATGCATATCAATATAAACAGAGAAACTCGTGCAGACTATTGCAATGCATCGCGCTTCATGAAATATGCCTTCCTACAAATCATTAACACCAATTACATTCATAAAACTACTCAATATCCTTAAGCAATCCTTAGTGTGGGGTGACAATATGTGCGGTGAGGATAGACACATATTGTTCCCGGCGACATTATGAACCGATAGACGAGAATATGTGCAGTGAAAGTACTAGGTGCATATTATCGCCAACGGCAACATGTAAAGGGCGACAATATGTATAGTCAAAAAGGGGTATTCAAAAATTTTGTTTTTTAGCATTGATATGTTAATTACAGACTTTTTAAGTGGGCATATTACATGAAATGCACTATAATGCCATATACTATAAAGATATGTTCAGTCTTTGTGAATATCAATACGCATGAGCATACACAACAATGGTATTTACGTCGAAAATTAAACTTCAGATTTCATGAGATCTCACAAACTAACGTAATTTTAAACGCACAATTGACATTTTTAACTCTAAGGAAGCAGCTCCAGAAAGAAGCTTTATTTAATATACAAGTTGCACCCTCAAAAGGGAAAAAGGGGACAATTAAAATGATTAATATGAATTCTCTCTCTCTTTCTTCGACAAAATGTGCATTTGTTACTAATTATGTGCCAACTTGTGGGGTACATTTTGTCGCCCATTCTGTAGGGGGGAAAAGGCACATATTGTCGCCTTGTCCATATGTTCGTGGATGACAATACTCAGTATGTACAGTGAGTAAAGGTATACTTTGTCGCCATGCGAGAATACTAGTAATCTATGTATTAATACATTATTAGTTGATTAAACACGAATCTACCTTTCATCATCTGCATTGATACTAAATGTAAATTTGCTCATAAAATTAATTTTTTTACATCAACATTAATCTGAATTTGTTGACAACCTTGTTTTTTTATTTATTATTTTTTAAGACTACTTTTTATCTACTGCACTAGAAATTCATCATTATTTTCAGAAACTGAAGTTAACCTAGATTAAAAAAAAAGATATTTGTCTTTTTTTTATTGGTTGGTTAACTACCGCATGGCAAAGAAGTTAACCCGGAAGATAAAATCGATGAATATATTCAATTCTTATTATTATGTTGTGGTATGATTCACGGCTGTTAGCTTCTATTGTTTGCAATTTGCAATGAATGAACTCGTAAATTAGTATTATATAATGACATTGTTGAGTGAGGCAATTCTATATACATGGAATGATATGCTGTTCAGTTTTAAAAAAAAAATAATAGCCAAAACAAAAAAATTCTTAATGCTTCTCTATCCTATTGAAGTTTTGCATATTGTAATATAGTAATAAATATGCTTATGAACAGGGAACCATTGACTAGGAAATTAAAAAAATATGATTTTGATTGAAAAAAAATTGCATGACCATTTTGACAAATAATCCAAAATCTTGCTTTTGGACAAATAATCCAAAAATCTTGCTCTTTATCTGTAATACATACATTAGTATATTCTCTATTCCTATGCCTTTTTAACAGGGAGCCAAGAGAGTGTGCCTTCAATACAACCCTCAAAAGCCTCAGACAGTCAAAAGCATATTAAGGTATGACAAAAATTACACAGATTTTTATATATTCACATCATTCTAATGATAAAGTTATAAATGTATGTAGTTGATCTCCTTGAAAACGTTGATCTTTTGGCCATATGACATTCTTGCAACAATATATGTTACCATGTTTTCATGTATACAGAAAAGGATTGAAATATGAAGAATCAATGTTCTCTTGTTAATAGATTTGGTTAAAGCCATCGTATGTATGGTAAAATTAAGGAGTCAAGAGCCTTTGGGAATTGACATTCAAATATATTCATCATTTTCAGAGATATTATTACGAGAACAAATATAATTCATCAAGGAACAAAGCACAAAACTGACTGACTGTGCACTCGAATCTCATAAGGCCGATGTCCTTTGTCTAGTTATCACGATAATAAGTAATTCTGGAATACCAATAGAACACTCATCTGTATTGGTGTGACGACAACATAGAGGAAGTTATACAAATCTAATAATTTGATCAGTAAACGACTTCCTTTCTATAAGATAGGGTTAAACAGGGCTAAAATAATGAAGCAATTTAGCCATCAGCGCACAAGCAGGAAAATCGATGTTTAAAATCAATAAATGAATAATGTCCACAGATTTTAAAAATAACGCTTTAGCTGGATTTTTAATATCATATTCCTGTATTTAGGCCCAATTCTAGAATTCTAACAGAAATAAAACGTAAAACAACAGTTTTCCTATATACACATTTTTTTTCTTACAGAGTAAGAAAATAAGATAGTCTGTTTCATTTACATGTAATAGTGTAAAAATTATGAGGGATTTGTTTATTTTTCAGTCATTTTGAGTTGGAAAAATTTGAAAAGGGACCAAAAGAAATATTTGATCCAGACATCCAGAAAGACATTTTAGTGTTGGAAGAACAAGAGGTAGGAAATATATCGATTCGTTAAAAATCTTATTCTTAAACGAAAAAAAAATTCAAAAGGATTCTTTTATAAAATTGTTTCAAAAGCTTTCACATGTAATTTTATGATGTGTAAATCATACTCATATCTGTAAATATAGCTCGTAAATAGTTATATATATACATCCCTAATCTTATTAGGACCCAATAGAAAGATTTTAAAGACTGTCTTGTACAACATATCAATGGTTGACATTAAAATTGATAAATGAACTTAAATTATTTTAAGAGTCGTGTTCATTTCTCCACATGTTGATAGGGGTATTGGAGATTGTATGCTGTTTTGCTTTCCACATAGTATAGGAAATATCAATTGTGCTAAAATGCATTTCATTTTTAACATTTACAAAATTGAATGAATTGAATTACGAATTATTTTAACTCAACTTTGAACCCTACTTACACATATTCCTGCCATTTTATCTGGCTATTGGTAAATCTAGACACCATGTATAGAATATGAACGTCATTATAATTTTTACACATTTACAGTTTGCTAGGTAAAGCAGGAATTCGGAGATAGATCCTTTTCATATATAAAGACTTGGTAATGAAATAGCTTTACACACGTTGGTAATTATTTCAGGGATCGATCAACTTTAAGTTTGGTGTGGTTTATGCCCTAGATAACCAGATGTCTGATGATGAGTTCTACAGTAACAGTACGTATCTGCATGATTTGCTAAATATAAGACTGGTCTGACGTATGTGGTCAAAATAGCCCGACTGTCATGAACAGCTTACCGAACGTAATGTGATTTGCATCGTAGACAATTTCGAAAATACACACCACTTGTATTTTACAATTTACATGCTACAAGTCAATATCGACAAACTTCTGCCTCTTTTTTATCTATAAATAAAAAAACATGACGCGTGATGTTAACGTTAAAAATCATCTTAATTAGCTGCCCTCTCATCAGAAGAACGGTTATTGACTTGCGTAACGGAGTGTTTATATTTCTAAAAAGGGTTTGTTTTGCAAATAATTTAAGAAAATGAGCTATACAGGGAATAACTTTAGCGTTGTATCTATTTTTCTTGTGACCATGATAGAGAAAGGGATACACACAGGAGAAGTTAATCCATATGTTATCCAATATCCCAATGGAGCAAGTCAGAAGAAATATTGAATAATAAGATCTCTCGACAAAATATATGCATATTGTCTGGTTAACTTTGTTCTTGTCAGCAAATTTTAGCAGCAAATAAAACTGAATATTTTTTTCCATGCAAAGTACATGTGTTTACTGATATTATTTTCCCGTTCAAGACTATTTCTAGGTCAACTTTGACTTTTACTCTTATTGTTGAAGACAGACAGTACGCGTTATATAGTTTTTGTACTTTTATATGGAATTAGCATGGAATATACGTTAACATGAGATTGGGGTCTATCAGCACCAAAAGTGTGAATCCTTTTAAAAAACAAAATATACATACTAAACAATGATAGAACAAAAGAAAAGGATTGAGAAAAAAGTATAAGGAGATCAATTATCAAACAGTTATTGAGTGGCTGATGACACTTTGGCAGCATGAACATAAAAGGGATTGACTTAGATTAAAGATGAAGTGTCAACAGAATCAATCAAAGGATTAACTTCCAGTTCTAACTTTTCCCCAGGTGGGTTTTAGGCTGTGTGGAATTTATAGAATTTAACACATTTGCAGACATATAGAAAATGTTTTCGTAAGAATTATCAAGAAGTCCAAAAAGTTAATTTACACGGTAAATTGCAGTCCGAAAACATTCTTCATACCGTAATACATGTCTATTGCATATTGATGAGAACATATTCTTCACAACACGAATACCCTGAAACAAAAGGTTAAAAAAAATAAGACAACACAATTCTTTTCCCTATTTAAAAATTGATGCTCTTACACAATTTTTAACGTAAATAAAAAAAGATGTTCTAATATATCTATTTCAAACAAGAGTTATTCTTCAGTAAAACAGAGTAACATTTCTTTTTTTTTTTATTTGTTTTTATATAGATGATCCAAAGCCTTCTTTCAACGGATTCTTAAGTCTTTTGGGTGGCAGGATAAAATTAAAAGGATGGGAAAAATTCAAAGGTGGTTTAGATGTCAAATGTAAGTTGTTTTTTTAAACATAAGAATATATGTTCTTGATATTTTCCATTTTATGTCAATTGGTATCTGTAAAGCATCAGGGAACATTTTGTGATTTGTAGCTAATGCCACAGGGACAGAATCCATATACACTGTGTATGAAGGGCACGAGATCATGTTTCATGTGTCAACCTTTCTTCCTCATTCACTTGAAAACAAGCAGCAGGTAAATTAAGTAGAACACTGTCTTATCTCGGCAATATTTCTTATAGTACATCCATATCACATTGAATGTTATTTTCTTTTTTAGGTGGAAAGAAAGCGACACATAGGAAACGACATTGTGAATATTATCTACTATGAATCAAGCAACCCAGATCCGCATTGTTTTCCTCAGTTCAAACCTTGTATGATGAGGTCACGGTTTACTCGTATCCTTTTCCTTTTTTCTCCTTTTTATAAATCAGTCTCCCTTCTTGAATCTGTGAACAGATATGGACGACAATGAGACGCCGATCTGGTGAGAAGTCCTACTAGTAGTGTAACTAAGCTCATGTGAAGCTGGATAAGATAAGCCTGAAAAACTGCTGAAATCATATCTTTGTTTCACAAGTTCCCCGTCTTAATTCTTAAGACTATACAGAAAGAACATTTATTTATATCTTTCTCTTTAAGCACCTATTATATCTATGATTCCATTCGCGGTTAGTTTTTGGGTTTGGTATTATTGTGTTTTGATAAACATGTATTTAAAAAAACAACTTCTAGCTGTAATTATATTACATACACTCAGAACTCTATATATGTTTCGTGATGGGCATCAAACCTTGAGAAATTCTTAGTATGTAAGCTTAATTTTCTTTATTGTTTCCAAAGATATTCGTATATACATGAAAGACCATCCAGAAAAAATTTAATTTGACGAATACATAATTACATGAATATGTTAGGAATTAACTTATGCTTTTGCAATAAATGTATAATAGTTAAAACAATATACTGGTAATTATTACATGGACTAGTATGTCATAAACATAAGCCAGTCTTAAAGATTTTCTATGTCAATTGTTTTGTTTATGACAGCTTTATGTATTGATTTCATAAAACAATGTTGTAAAATCTTAAATTCCTTATTTTGTGATATAAGGTTATTGGAATCAGTCATAAACTTCATTGATTCTCGATTTGATCAATATTAACGACTTGTATATCATTCTTTGTCATTCTATATCCTGTTTCAATAACACATTATCTATACATCTCCAAAAAATATGGTCACTAGACCTGATTAAACATGTTGATCGATGGCTGCCTTAAAGCTAGGCCAATCATGACTTGGTATCCCACACACTTCCTTTCTTAAATAATCATAACTTTCAGATGTAACGAACTGTTGAGGTTTTTAAGTATATTTGCCCGAGAGTAAATTCTTCCATTTATTTTTGTGTGGAGGGAAGCGGTACTACGTGAAAACAAAGGCTACACATTATGTTAAGTTTAGAATGCAATATCTTCTAACTGACAAAATATTACTTTTTTCTGCAAATAAATTTTGAATGTCACAACTCTATACTTCATATAATAACAGAGCTGTGTACCTTAATTTACTTCAGATATTTTCGCTGTTGTGTGTTACAATACATGTGATTATTCTTATAAACTTCACGTGTTTTCGGAAGAATCAGTTCCTCTCTTCGGACCACCTCTTCCTTCGCCCCCTGTGTTCCATGATGCTGATGAGTTTAGAGAATTCCTTCTTGTCAAACGTAAGCTCTCATCCATCTTTGACTAAGCAATTCTGTCTTTTAATAATGGATCTTAAGTACTACGTGAAAACGAATTAAAACGAATGAATATTCTTTTTTGTGAACAGAGAGTTTACTATAGCAACAATGACGTTGGTATGTGGAAAATTCAATAAAAATGAACAAGTTTAAAGTTAAAATCTTATTTTAACCTAAAATGAATAAAATTTTTTTTAAAAAAAGCAAAAATTCAAGAGTTTATTAAATTTAAATTCTTTAGGGATACAGATGATGATGCAGTCATTTAAGGGGAACAATTCATTTTTGGATAGGCGTGAAGTTATATAAATGTTACAGATGACATTATAGATAATTTTCTCCTAAAATACTTTAACACATTAATCAAATCTAAGCAAAATGTACACAATTTATTTTCATTGCTCTTTTTTAGTAATCAATGGTGAGAAGGCCGCTGTAAATAATCCCCTATTTGCACAAAAACGAGAACGAACTCTGGAGATGTTAATAAAGAATATACACCAAGTGTACATGCTGGAGACAAACAAGGTGATGGAGTTTTAAATTCTTAGCATAATATATTTTAATACTTTTGGAATCGCAGTTTAACAAAACTACCCAAGTGTTACAGTCTTCATCTCAATCGTCTTGTACCTCAAGCAAATTTACTTTAACTTTTATTGATTATTATTTTTTGGAATCAGTTGTATAGAAGAGCATTCAGTGATGTTATTCAAGACGCCCACATCTCCAGGAAAGAGGAAGCCAGACGTAGCGAATATGTCCGAGTCGGTCAGGTAACGAAACAACACGGGTACACTTATATATGATATTACAACATTTTCCTCTCAAAACCATTTCTAAATTAAGATATCGATATTTTCGTATCTTAGAGAATATGTTAACCGTTTCAGACATTAAAAGTGAAAACCATCCTGAAGGGAGATGCCCCAACAAGTTTGGTCACAACAGGTCTACTTAAAAGGGAGGTACGTGGAAGGTTCTAGGACTTCATTGTTAAAATCTCTCCTCTTTTAGTGCATTTAAAGACATTTCTGATCCATGCTCCTATTTCCGTATTTATCCGTAAATATATTTCATTTGTCTCTGACTAAAAGACACTTATGTACACAGCAAATCGTAAAATTCATATAGCATAATTACTTGTATTACAAAGCAAATTGTCTTGGTGAGCAAGATTTGAACTTAATTTGAACCCTTCAGCAATGAAAGATGCCTTTGTCAAAAAGCAAGCTTCTGATGTCATGTCTTCAAGCATGGGTGTTTGATTTGTTTATTGCGTTTCTATTGTAGCCATGGGAACCTCAACAATTCTGCATGGATTTCCCTCATCCAATTATTTGTGGTGATTCCTGGGGTACGTTTATCAAGCAAGAAGATTTGTTTTTGTCAAGGTCTTCTTGCTTTTGTTTTTGAAGAGAATTTAATTTTTAGCTGAAGATAAGGATATAAAATGGTACGTCATAATTCATCTCGTTTCGCGTTGGCAACAGCTTATACACTGCTTTTAATGTGTCTTTAAAAGCGGAAGACTATAAATCTAAATGTGTTTGATGAATTTTTAGACAGCAAATGGATAACACTATTGATTTTACTTTCAGGGGACAACAAATTAATATTATCAACAGATAATGGCACGTTTATCGTTGAAGGTAATTATATATATCCCTAACAATGATAAATGGTTTATTGCAAGTCAATTTAAATTCGCACCTTATGAAAAAAGACATATGTATCAACTGACGTTTTACAGAGGGGCTCTGTCATCGATCTATATTTGACAAGACTGTGCCAGTGAAGCAGCTGGATATCGTGGAGGCACATGGACTTCTGATATTCAGATGCGACAAAGGTACAAATATATCTTAAAGGATATCTACAGAGAACTATGAAAATTCTCTTTAATTATGTTCGGTAAAAAAAACTGAACTCGTTATTTGATATAACTTCAATTGGTAAGACAGAAAGCATTGTGTTTTTTCATCTTGCTTCTGCTAAAATTTGATCCTTTTTTTCTAAAAGGAAAGGAGGGCAAAATATATGTATACCGATTGAACGATTTTGAGGGAGAAATACTGGATCAAGTTACAAGAGGAAAAGCAGAATGTAGAGATAACAGAATAGAGAAAACGAAGGGTATTCATTGTATTGAATATTCATTAATGATTTTTTTTAAAAAGAAGAATGTACGTTTTCAATACAAATCTGGCTCTGTATTTCTTTTAACATTAAAATGTTTTGAGAAATTAAAACTCATGTTTTTTTATTGTTCGAATTCGAATTTCATGATCATACAATGTTTTCTTTTATGACCTCCTAAATTTCAATTGTGACGTCATGAACTTGTGCATTTCCCTGAATTTTCTAAAAAAAAAAAAATGCAGACAGTGGATGTTTTTTCAGAAAATATAAACCACATGCATCGCCTACAAAGATTTTAAGATATGTGATTTCTCAAAATATTTTACACAGCATATCTCAAAATTAAAGTGGGCGACGGCTTTGGTCACTATTTTCATAAGGAAATTAACCCCGAAAACAAGTCATTTTGAGTCTTTTTCTGGTAAAAAATAGAATTGTAACTAATGAATGACGTCATATTTCCAGAACGACCCTCCTTTATGCCATACACTTTCCTAATTCATCAGTTTCAAATATTCAACTCGTATTTAAGCAAATTTCAAACATTTCAAACATCAAATTTTTAGGGCATAATAAAGCCGAAATCGTACATTCTTCTTTATCTTCCTCAATTATTTCGATTGAAAAAAGTGTCTAAGGTATCAAAATCACAATATATTAATTAAATATTCAAAACGGATTTCCGTAGATTATAAAAATGATCCAAATGCATTATTATTATGAATTCAATTCCGCAATAGGGTGCCATCTGTACGCTCTGAGCAGACAAGGTGCTAGCCATTTAAGAATGGTGGTGGCCATCCAGAAACGACTTCTTCTGTTCTCCTGGAAACATTCTGTGGCCTGGTCAACTTGGTGCCCCTCTGTGGACTTTGAAATCGTGGATGGTTTCAATTTTGTTCGAGTACGATATTTAAGCCAATGTCTATTATACTGCTTGCCTGTAGGATTTTAACACTTTCAATCATCGTGTTTATTTTTACCAGTTTTGTTCATTATTATGCATAGAAAGTTTAGAAATGCCTCATTTTGCAAGCGTTACTGTAAAATGAATTACAATATGACAAAGGATGAGAAGTTTAAGATAGAATGTTTGCTGTAGGAGCTACAAGCCTTTGAGAGCCCTCAGTTGATAACGTTAATTGATGGAATCAAGGATGACAACCAGATCTGTGTGGGATACAAAAACCAGTTTGACCTGATCAACGAGAAAAATGGCGACACGCTACAGCTGTATCAAGTGGAGGCCAACAAGGTAGGGCTTCAAAAAATAACAGGTGTGTAAAAAAGAAAGGACCTACATGTCAAACAAAGGATGAAATATGTGAACTGAGATTAAAATAAAGTAATGATAATAAAAGTAAATTTTTGGGAAATAAGTTGAGAAAATAAGAAAATTTAAATTTGCAAGATGCACTTTATACATTTGTATATATACTTGATATATGAAATCCTACTTACTTTCAACAGTTTAGATTCAAGTTTGTTCAAATCATTGGGGTAGGGTTTGACCACATTGGGCAGTCAAAGTTTTACAAAGGAATTTATAGAAATCTTTAAAAGTCTTCTTTTCAAGAACAGCAAAATCACGATAAGTCATATTTATATGGAAGCTTCCTTGGGTTGTAGTATATTATTTTTTTTTGTTTTAGCTAACCTCAACAAAGTTGGGGGAAGCTTATATGATACTCTCGGCGTCTGCGTCGGCGTCCCAGGTTAAAGTTTTTAGTGCAGTTTTCTTTTTAGTACTTCAATGCCCTACATTAATCAGAGATGCATGGAAAATGCTTCTAGTGTGTTTCATTGTGCCAGTCAAGGTTTCAGCTGCTGCAATTTCAGCTAAGGAATGACCAGGTTAATGTTTTTGGAGCAGCTTAAAGTTTCTGGTGCAGGTTAAAGTTTTTGGTGCAAGTCTCATTTCCAAGAAACTATAAGCCCTATGTTGACCAGACTTGCATGGATGATAGATCTAAGGATGTGCACTACCAGGCTTGCTTCGGATGCGGGATCTGACCTACATTTTCTGGATGAGTGAATAGGTTAATGTTTTTGGTGCAGGTCTCATTACCAAGTGACAATAAGCCTTTATGTTGAACCAAACTTGCATGGATGATACATCTAAGGATGCACACTACCAGGCTTGCTTTGGATGCTGGATCTTACGTGTACCTACAATTTCTGGATGAGTGATAGGTTAAAGTTTTTTGAGCAGGTTCATTCCAAAGTAACTATATGCTCTATGATGACCAAACTTGCATGGATGATACATCTAAGGATGCACAGTAATTGATTTGCTTCGGATGCTGGATCTGACATACATTTTCCAGCTAATGGACCAGGATAAAGTTTTGGATGCAGGTCTATTACTAAGAAACTATAAGATCTATCTAAACCAAATTTGCATGGATGATGCATCAAGGGATGAACACTCTCAGACTTGCCTCAGATGCTTGATATGAATTACATTTTCTGGATGAGAGACTCGTTTGAAGTATTTGGATAAGTCTATTCCCAAGTAACTGCAAGTCCTTTCAGATCAAAGAACAAGGTACGGTTTCAATACAAATCTTGCCCTGTGTTTCTCTTAAAAATGAAAGTGATGTAAAAAAAATTAAAACTCATGCCTTCTGAATCATTAAAATTCCATGCAGAAAGATCTTGCGAATCATTTTTCTCACATGACCTTCTAAATGCTAATTGTGACGTCATAAAAATGTGCATTTTCCCGTATTTTCTTAAAACGTTGCAGAAGACACCAATTTTCCATGGAAATTTCTTTCAGATAATATTGTCCACGGGCATCGCCCACACAAATTTCGAGATATGTGATTTTTCAAAGAATTTTACACAACATATCCCAAAATTACAGTGGGCGATGGCTGTGGACATTATTTTCTTAAGGAAAATAACCCTTGAAATGGGTCATTTTGAGGCTTTTTCTGTTTAAAACAGAGAAATGCATTAAATTAATGACGTCATATTTCCAGAATGGTACTCCTTCATGCCATATTCTTTCCTGATTTATCACATTCATATACTCTACTAATATTTAAGCCAGTTTCAAAACTTTTTGAAGACATTAAATTTTTAGGGCATAATAAAGTCAAAACTGTACCTTCTTCTTTGCATAAATTTTGCATCTTGGGATGTACACTACTAGATTATTAGTTTAATGTGGGACTTTGCCTTACTTAAAGACAACATTCGTTGAGGTGAGCTCTGTAATCTCTGATTACCTATGTTTTTTTCCAAATCATGACCCCTGGGGTTATGCTTTGGGCCACAATGGACAATCAAAGTGTTACATTAGAATATAGGAAAAATCTTTTTTTCAAGAATAGCAAAACCATTCATGATTAGTTATATTTCTTTGGAAACATGCTCAGGATTTGAAGATTCATATTTGTTTACATCATGACAACTATGAGTAGGGTGGGGAAACAATGGGCTATCAAAAATTTACATAGGAATACATGGGGGAAATCTGCAGGTGAAGAACAGCAGGGTCATAATGGCTTTGGCGAGCGTTGTGGCTCATGGGCCTCATGTTTAACGAGATCCTCTTGTCATTAGAGATTGATTTCTGTAAAACGAAGCCATGTATTACATTAAAATGTTGCATTTAAAATTATATAACAATACTAACTTTGAATCTTTACATTTCATTTTGTTTAATCGCTATTTATAAGATGTGTGACTATAGACATTATTACGTGTAGTGTTAGTGAATTACTCAGTGTTGATCCTGCTCCGAGACTCAATTTTCGCTGTCTTAAATTTATGATAATTTTGTTAAATTTCTTGATTAATTCACTTTTTGCAAATTATTTGAATTGTTTGTTAAAATATGTCAATCAAATTTGGTTATAGTATGACGTTGAATAAACAAAGTTATGACAAAGGTCTACGTATTTTTGAAACCTGTTTGTGTAAAATTCTGATTCCATGACACAGATGTAATTAATTCTGTTCATATTTATTTTTGGAATGTACAGTTTGTAAATGATAGACATCCTGAAAAAAGCATTATCTTCCCCATACAATCAAATACTAGTACTAAGCATGAGACCTTAATTTTTGTTGTCGTTCACAGTTGAACCTGGTTGCAGCTTTGGATATATACGAGGATGAGGAGTCGGAATTGCTTCTTTGCTACAACCGTAAGTATACTTGTCTGATTGTTCTGGCTCTAATTATCCTTTGAGGATTTTTTTTTTTAAATATTAGCGTGATCGAGTGAATATACACAAGAAAATCCTTTTTGTAGATGTAAGTCACTTCCAGAAACTCTCAGAGGAAACATCACGTGATTTTGACTTCAATTGGAACTCTGAGCCAAACGATATAGGTAAAAGATAATATTTTTTCGCAGTTTTCATTTAGTGCGCTTAATGACTGTTTGTAAAGGTTTTTATATTTATGTTTCCTTTAAAGCACATATATTGGAAATATACTTTGTGAGTGGTTTTTGAATTCATGTATTGTTTGCAAGCTTTGAAAAGCAAAATGCGATACTAGAGATTAGTTACCAAGATATGGAGAACCCAGGAAGTCGAAAGAAGGACATATGCTGTTACTTTTTAAATAAAAGGATGTTTTGAAGTGTTTCATGTTCGTTGATTTTGTATAAATTTACAATTCTCCAATTTTACAGTTTGTGCTTTCCCATATGTGATGGCGTTCACAGCCGATGCTATAGAAATCCGACTAATTATCAATGGAAACCTTGTCCACGCCATGTCACAGCCTGGTCTTAGTCTCATTACATCGAAAGTAAGTCTCAACTATTATAATCAGTAAAACATTTTCATCACATTTGAAAATGCTACATAAACGTTCGTTTTCAATTGTGCATTATGCGCCGTCTGTAGTGCTTAAATTCCTGATCATGGCGAACAATGTTGTACAGTTTGAATGTTATAGAAAGTAAAGTTGTTTTTCTAATGTGTCTAGTGTGATATATATTTCTCCACGATTGCTGGTCCAGGAAGCTCTCCAAAAGAAAAGACTCGTGAACAAGGATACACCCCTCCCTCTTCACCATCTGGTAAGTGTGATAAGGGATTCTAACGAATATACAACTTTGGGGGCTTATCTACATTCGCGATAATACATGAATCTTGTATCATTCTTGGCAAATCATGTTACATTAAAACTTAAGTTTAGTTCTTAATTTAATGTCTGTAACTATTCGATTGTTAAACTTTTTAATGAAACGTATTATTTGCTACTGCATAGAATTTCATGTAAAATTCAAATTTAAAGATTCTGTGAATCTCTAAAATACAAGTATTATTCTTTTTTTTATTTCAGCCAAAACGTTGCGCCCTCCCCAATACATATACAAAATCCCTCTCTCGTGCCTTGCTGGGCAAATGTCGAATAATGACAAGTCACCCATAAATCCAACGCCTTCTGCCCAGTCTACGCTTCTGGCGCCAGTGGCTCAAAATGGCGACAGGTCACCAAGCAACAAACGACGTAGTCCTCTGTTAAGGACCAAATGCATCCATCCCAGTGGTGAAAAGGTATAGCAGATATAGACTCTCCTTGTTTTACTCCAAATTGATTAAACAGTCATCCCAGTGGTGAAAAGGTATAGTAGAAATAGTTTCCACATGTCTTACTCCACAGTGAGTACATGTATAATGAAGTCATCCCAGAGGTTAAAAGGTATCGCAGATACATAGTCTCTCGTTGTTTTACTCCACAGTGAATATAACAAAGTCCATGCTTCGGATAAAGATATGATTTATTATTCTGTCTTGCGGCGCATCTTTTTTTTGCATGCATTTGCACTAACATTAAAGTGTATATATATGAATTATTTTTTCAGACTGTGAGTGATAGACATGACTCTTCAGGCTCAGATTCCGGAATTTCGATTCTAAGACCAGGGACTAATTGTTCTCCTCCAGACAGTCCATATCAACAGACGATATGTACTCTTGACTTTTCACATCAGGAGACGGACCTAGTTTGACATACACTTGCACGAAGTGTGTGAATAGACATGTACACATGTTATGGCATTTTCAATGTGCCTTACCGTGTTCAATCAACGACTTAGGACGCCTACATGACTTGAAGCAGAGGTTAAAGATTCACGATATTGACTAAGTCAGGTGTTTACTGGTCAGTGAGGGATATAACCTGTGAAAAGAGTCTATGAAGAATGACGTTGGGATTAAAAAAAGGAACCGACGACAATACTGCCATGTTCAATCGGTACACCGGTGGGCTCAGCTTGTTTCAAATAGATGCTCCCATACTCACAAAAAAAAAGATATTACTTACGTTTTATTCCATTTTCTCTCTTTTTTTCAAATAATTTTGTTCATCATGTCCAGAATGAACTTTTAAAATTTCTAGTCATATTTATGAACGACACAATGGTGCTACTTCAATATTTGTTATGTTACATGTAAACAGAATAAGTATTTATACCTAAATATGGAGTTTTAATGTATTTGAGGATATTTTCATTATCCTGTACAATTGCCATATTTAATTTTGCTACAAAGACTGATATTTAACTATTTGTTTTATACAGATGAAAAAAGTATTGGAATATTAGACATTAATTGCTGCACGATTTCTTGGTCCTTTTCTCTCTAAACATTGGGGAAAAGACTATCACGAGCGAAAAAGAACTTATGGATTCGGTTTTAGGATGGTGTGTATTTTCCTTCTATTTCTATCTGAAAATGATGATTAAAATGAAAACAGAAAATGAAACACTTTTTAATTTTAATTTTAATCATTATATGCAGACAGACATGGAAGAAAAATACACCATCCTGAAAGGAACAGAAATTTGTAAACTGAATGCGCTTACTGGAAAATTTAATATGTAATAATTGGTAGCGATTTCAAGTTTCTTTAAAGGAAGGGTCATCTACAGACTCTATTTAAGTTTTTAGCTTGTCGGAAAATTCCAAGAGGTTCCGAATGGAATCAACACTTGATGACAAGTAATCGCCTTTTAGCATAGGAAATTTTTAACTAATTGTTGTTATTATGACTTAAAAATTCACATAAATTATATCTAAGTGGTACGTGTTGATATGAACGTTCTGAAAGAGAAAAAATGGTTGAAGTTGTAAATTTTTCATATCATCCAATTTTTCTGTCATGGCGCAAGTACGTGTATTCATTGGACTGGAAAACGCCCCATCTTGTCTTTGCATTTCACATTCCTAAGTGGGAAGCACATTTTAATGTTGTTGAATTATTTTCACATGTTATACAATGACGTATTAATTATGTCAATAATTATATATTTTATATTTGTTGGTGAAAAAAAGATTTTATTGATTTTTGTTGTTTCTTTAGAAAAACAATTTTTTTGGCAAAATGATATATTCTATTTTGGGAATAAGGCTGTGACGTATCATCCACCTCTCAAAAGAGAGTACATGAGCACTCGTCATCTCTTCATTTGTTAATCATTCTCAGGCAAAAAAAGAGAAGCACAAAATATTTATTCCAATTTTTTTTATATAAAATACCTGCAGTATTAAATATAAAAAGAAAAATATCTAATTTGAAAGCCAAAATATTTGCTTTATTTAGTTTTCAGTTAGAAAAAAATGCTGACTTGCACAATAAAGTCCGTACGTCTTAAATTTCTGTCATTGTTTAACGTGTTTCCATAGTCACCAAAGAACATACAGGTATTTGTGATCTTTCATTCTTTAACCCTCTTATTTTCATTAGAGTTACATGATTTATCTGTTTTATTGAAAATAAAACATTGTTTTGAGATATGCATATTGTTGTTTAATCTTTATATAATTATCAATAGGGTCATCCTTAAAATAATCTTTGATTGCCCTCTCCCGACTCAGGGTGAAAAATTGGGTCGGTAGGTAGGTGGAAATTTTTTTTCCAAAACAGTTTTAACATCAATGCTGAATTTTCAAAATATGTAAAAATAAGATTTAAATATTCCGAAATGAAAAGAAAAATAAAATCGTCCCGGAGGTTAAAAAAAGTTTTGAATCGGGCCATTTTTATCCAGTTGGTTGGGAGAGGGCAAACAAACAATTTTTTAAAGATGGCTTGGACATATAACATGTAATTCTGAATCTTTATTATTATTTTAAATTTCCTCATGCTTAAAAAATCTTTCAATATTATATTGTATTTAAAAAAACTCAATGCATGTACACTGTATATTTATATTTTAGTTCCTACCATTCTAGGTCGAAATTTACGCAAATTTTAAATTTAATTGAAATAATTACTTGTGTTACTAGAGGTAAAAACTTTTCCCTCCAAATTCAGGGAAAAACCATTTCCCGTGGGTAGCAAGTAAAAAAATTTACAATAAAATATTACAAAAACCCCTTAACCTATAAGCCGTAGATAAAATTAAATCCTATTAGATTTATGTTATAAGAACAATGGTTCATAACAAGAAAAGTCCCAAAAGATAGAAAATATGAATGTCATTTTGTTCCGGCAGCTAACAAGGATAATGATATTTTGTTAAAATAAATTAACTGTGCCTCAGGATCTATGTAAAACGTTTACCGACAGTGAAAGTATAGTTTGGGTAGTCAAATTTGTGTTTAAAAAACTTTAATTTGTTGCAATATATTCCAAGTTTCTATGAAAAATGTATTTATTTGTTTAGATAAAAAAAATGCAAAAATTGTTTTACATTTTGCGATTTTACATTCTGCGTTGACCTAGAGGCTTAATGTAATAACGCAAAATGTAATAATCTAAAAAGGTGATATCACATTGCTTTATTACATTCTGCGTTGATGTCGACGCAAAATGTAATAATTCAAAATATAATAATCTCAGTTTATTACATTTTGCGTCGATATTACATTTTGCATTGTAACAAGACCTGGTCTCTGAAAATTACATAAACGTTGTCAATGAGGAACTCCAGCACTTTTGATATCAACTTCAGAGTACTTGTTTGTAGAATCAGAGTGATTTTTTCGATGACCAATCAAAAGATACGAAAATTCCGAGTTCTATATTCATTTAAGAAGCGGTTGTTTATATTATCAAAAAGCCTAGTTTTAATTTATCGTGAGGAATGGTTGTATAGAGTGTACAAAAGTCGAACGTTTTAATGTTACTGTTATTTCAAAAATCAATAATTTGTGATTTGTAATTTTCTTAATGTTCGTTTGAGTTTTTGAAAATCCACATCTGATTTACACCACTTCTAGAATATGCACACAGCACAGTACATCTGAAGTCTCTCTTTTACAGCAGTTAATATTTTTGTAAGGAGTAAAGATGGGGGCTTGGTAGAGAATTTGCTGGGTCCGGCAGTGTATCTTTGTAAGGATTTCATATGGAGCTTAAGAATCAAGCATAGGTAGGGTAGATCGAACTTAACTTGTTGTTTGGAATATTAAAATGTGTTAAACACTGAAATGTGATTTTGAAGAACTTCGTCCTTAGAGAGTGAACTGTGAGTATGAACTGTATTTCCAAGTCTTCTAAAATACAGTTACAAAATGAGACTTAGAAAGAAACCATAAATATTCATGTAGTCTTTCTTATTTTATCATCACCTCTGATTTAGTAAAAACGGAAGGGTAAATGGTTCGCATACCGCCTTTTAACTTTCTTTCTAATACGATTCTTTAATATCTTCACAGGATGAAAAGCCAGATTTCCCAAATTTGGAAACCTGATGGAAACATATGGGAATCGTGACATCAGTAGTTTCCATTTTACAGAAACCACTGTGTGGTTTCCATGTTGATTCCCGACATGGAAACAATAAACCTCTAAGTTTCTCAAGATGGGAAACTTTGGACAAATGCCCCAAATTTGTTCTTATGTATTAACGACAAGGAAGCAATCAAACCGTGGTTTCCACCACGTTTCCCAGTTGGTGAAACTTTGAAAATCTACATTACTATCTTCCACCCAGTTTCCATTTTAGAAAACTTGTACGTAGTGTTTACACTTATTTCCCCGATGATAGACATTTTGGAAACCTTTATCAAAATTTTGCTTTGACTCTAATTTCCCCTTAATAGAACTGTCATTGAATTCTCTGTAAGAAAATTGTTTATGTGGCTGTAAACCCAAATGAAGTGTACATTAATTTTCACATTTAACTCATATAGATGCATTAACTGGAATAGAGAGGTGTAACTTTTTATAAATACCAATTGCAATGTAAACTGATAAGATAAAATTCAATCATTGCGCTGACCCTGGGCACCTCCCCTCACGTGCCACAGGTGGGGACATGTGTCGCGAAGACACCTGCCAAGTGCTGTGGTTGTGTATTTTTTGTATATTCTATGTGATTTGAGAGATTTTTCTACGTAAGGGAACAATGGGCTGTCCTCAAGCACGTACATACGCATAGTCTCCACAAACTCAGTACAAGGTTAGCTTTTAAAAAAAGCTGAGAGTCAGCCACTGGAATACAGATAGTTTCTTTCTTGTTTTGTGATGGTATATGATTTGTTTTATCCATCATGTTGTGTTCATTAAAAGTCATTGTCGTCTAAGTTAAAATTCGCCCAGTCGTTTTCTTATTTGTAACATAATGCTGAACATAATAAATAATAAAGCATAGAATAAATTTTAGTTAGACTACATCGTGATCTTTATGATGACCTCCAATTAATTTCTCTTGGGCGCAGACATCAGATAAAGTTTGTCTCAGAAATGAACAAAGCCACTATGATCCCAATCATTGAACGTTGAAGAGTGTATACATTTTCAATTTTACTGTTATTAAAATTCTATAAATGATAGATTATGGTGCTTAAAAGGAAGGTAGACCTTGGGTTAGATTGTGTTAATTATTATTAGATAAAGTTTTTAATCGTGCAGGTTCGAGGCAATGCATGATATGGGAAGGGGGAGGGGTGCATACTGTATGTATTTTTAATTCAATTTCTAAATTTAAGCATTCATTTTAGTGTTATTAGGAAAGAAAAGAATTGCTTCCAAAATAAAGTAATAAACTGGAAATTCAAAATATTTTATACATACAGTACGTACACTGTAAAAAATGTGTTTACAATTCAAACACTTTTCTAAACACTTTCTTGTCACCTCCTTTTTTATATGTTTAATTTCTAAACATGTAAAATTCCTAAACATGTCTTAGAAAGTGTTTAGAATTTAAACACTTGTGTGCTTAGAAATTAAACATATCTAAACACATGAACACAAGTGTTTAAATTCTAAACACATAACAGCAGATGTGTTTAAAATCTAAACACATCATAAGTATAATTTGTACCTGCAGAAGAATAAAACACTCTCGTAAATTTAGGCACAAGAAGTATATGTTTTTTAAATGCGCACAATTGTCAAAATTTTCAAAATCTGTAACCAATATTATTTTCCATAAAGCTACTGAACGTTGGGATAATTTATGTTTTTAATTATACAATACAATGGACACTGTGCGATGTACATGTACTTAATTTACACAAATAATGTAGGAGACAGAACTGAATAGATTTGATTAGTCCCAACAATTCAATCAGATTGACACATAATTATAACGTACACATAGATAACAAACTTTTAATCTTCAAATTTATTAAGAAAATAATATTAAGCTGACAATTTAGTATCAAAACTTCATTGAATATTTCTAAAAGGCTTTATTAAAGAATTTTTAAATTAAAAATACGAAATGTATATTTATATATATATTTATTATAATCATTATAATTTGAATCGGCTGCAGAGTTTTCCTCATGTCAATCACAAAAATATCAAATTTTATTAACTTTCAGGAAGTCCCAAAGCACCACATATTATAATCTATATCCCATCATAACTGCCAGAAAGTAATCCATTTCGAATCCACGAGGATATTGTAAACATTGTCGAATTAACTCAGTAGTCTTCAACAAATGAAGTTTCAAAGTGTTGATTATGGAACATCAAAATTGCACTTAAAGGTGACACCAGGTACTCTGCTACGTGTATATTGAGTTCGATCTGGACTACAGTACCTGTAGGAAAGAAAGCCAGAATGTAGTAAAAGTACACTATCACTGATATTTTACATTACTTAGAAAAACAAAATTGTTCAAATTTTAGTGAAACTACACTGATATAAATATAGGTGTTTTTAATGACATTTAATATTGTTTCCTCTCCTGCAAGTCTATGAACGAATTCAAGATATCCCAAGTCAACTTTATTTACGTTGCTCATCGTGGTTAATTAATGCAAAGAAAAAGAAAACAAACCTTTAACGTATTGCAGCACAAGATGCCCTTTCACGTATTTCACTAATTCGTCATGGTTATCCCTTGAATTGGGTTGTCATAACTCTCATTGATACATCACCTTAGCTTGTTGTGTTTTCTTTGTTTAGATAGCCGCTCAAATTAACGTTCAAATATATGTATGTCATTTCCGGGAAGATAACTCTGCACTTTACAGTAAAACGTGTTTAATTTCTAAACGCGTTTAGATATAAAACATGTTAAGACATAAGTGTTTAGTTGTTAAACACAATACTATACACGTTTAGATCTAAACATGTACTAGAAGTGTTTATTTCCTAAACACAATTTTTACAGTGTATACCCTAAAATGATACTGGATTCTATCTCGCTCACTCTTTCTTATTGGGGGGGGGGGGCTGTTTATAAATCCGCGCAGTTTCTCTCAACTGTCGCAGTTCTACTGTGGTCAGTTTCTCACCTGTGGGCGCGATTCACGTGCACAAGCGGCACATACATGTCTATCATCGTGTAAAATATAAGACTTTACACATCTTAAGTGATCTTCTGACGTTTTCATAACTTTCATCATTAAAGTGAAAAGAGATTCTTTTTTTTCACTGTTTTGGTACCTTTGTGCAAGTGGATTATTGTGTGAATTCCGACCCGTACATGTCTTATGCAAGGTATTGATCGAGGGAGTTTTGCATCAGGCATTCAAAGGAATACACACAAATCCGTGAACTTGCAACGGCGATTGAGGGTATATATCAAGTGTTAAATGTGCTCTGCATATAAACTCATCTTCTATAAGAAGCACTGTAATATTTTCATAGTATCATATTTCCCACTTAGAACAATCTCTTCTTTAATTTTTAGTCGAGAAACGACGAAGAACAATGTAGTCTATAAATAGATCGAGGTCGCGTCGTGTTTGTGAAGAATCACGCCCTCTGGTTGGAGCAAATAGCACGAGTTTCTTTAGAACAAGTCGTGTACATCTTTTTTCCAGAATTCCAAATTACGCAAGCGCACTTGCAGTTTCATCCCACCGTAACTAGTCAGCCCGTGAGCTGACTAATAAATTCAGGTGGCCATTGGTTTCCGCGACATTGCTGGCAGATTCGAATATGTAGCGGTAATGAGTTATCGCCAATAGTTTTATAGATAAAACTGTTAGCTGGACTTTGTTCGATTAACCGTTTCACAAAACATATTCTAGTTCTCTGACTTTGCTCAAATGGCATTGACTCATTAAATAGTTACAAGTTTTTATCTTCATCTGAAACCCTAACGTCAAACACAGCTCTATTTAGCGGGTGGCATTATATACAAAATTGACAACTTTTTTTGTATTTACTGCCAACCAGTAAATTATATCAAGAACGCGTTGCGCAGTGGTTGAAGCGTCTGCTCTACAGTCGCGTAAGGAGCTGATCCTTAAGTCGCGGGTTCGAATCCACTGCGGGACATGGAGACCGGTCCTTCGAATGAGACCTTATAAACCGAGGTCCCGTGTGGCAGTAGGTGTTGGCATGAAAAAGACCCCTCACTGTTCAATGGCCCTCAGTGCCGAGTAGAGGTATAAAGAAGATGGGAGTATTTGGCGTGTGATCTGCAGGAATTATGTGTACGAAACATTTATAGTTTAAATATCCACGATTTGGTCGGCTGGCCACAGCTCGACAGGCTTTACAAAGTTATGCAAATAAGAAAATGTTACATTTACATGTAGATTGAAATTACATGTCAAATTGCAATATTTAAGTCCGCTTATCTTGATAAACTATAACATAGTAATGCTTCACATAAATAATAAACACCTACAAGATAATAGGAGTATAGTTAAATGCAATTACAAGGACATGTGTATTTTAAAGTATCAGTAGGTTGGAAGAATTGCTTTCGCTCTCGATGCAACAACCTGAATTATCTATTTTAGAATAAATCAGCACAAAAAATTAAACTGACTAAAGAATCAATTGTTTGCATAAAAAAAATATTAACGCTCCATGTGGGGATCGAACCAAAAATCTTTCTACTCCATTGCACTGGACGGGTATCGCATATTAATAGCTACATGTATCATCGCTAGACATACGACTTGATTTTAAAACGACAATAATTAAAGCACCGCATTTGCACATTGAATTTTATTTTTTGGAAAAACTTCATTTTTATGGTCTCTAGGTCTTCTTCTCTCCATTTTTTTTTTAAAATGATTGTTTCTTTGAATTAGAATGCATACAAATAACGTTGGAAAATCATGGAGAGATGACCCAGAGATGGCAAATTTTCAGAAAAAAGGTGTTTTAAATGTGATTTTTTGTACCAAATGAATCATCTAGCATATTGTCAAGTTATTTTTAGCAAACAAAAACAGAATATCGGTAAAATATTTCCCTTTCCTATTTGACAGGAACCAAATACGTCAAAAGAATGCTAAAAATTCAGAACAATGAAATTTTCGCTTTTCAAGTGCGCCCAGATTCCTGCCGAATGCCATTCAAAAGCGCCTTCATTCTTTGCAGCCCTCTACCGGCTAGTGGTGGCGTCTCCATATTAGTGAAAAATTCCTGTGAGGGACGTTAAACAACAGATAACAAAATAGACAGAAAGTGTATGGCATGTCAAATGTTGCAATATTCGATTTTTCCATTTGTGTTGTATAATTTTTCATTTGTATTATATGAAATATGTGGAGATAACGAACAGTATTCGAGCTCAAAAGTCCATTAAACATTACAATAGGAGCAGAGCAAACACGGACCTCTAAGACATCAGAGGTGGGATAAGGTGCCATGAAGGAGTGAGTATCCCCTGCCGACCGGTCACACCCGTCGTGTGCTCCTTGTCATGATCGGGAAATAATGGAAAAATCCGTCGGCAATTCATTGTGTAAATAATGGCTTGACAATTAGTATGAAAAATGTCAGTCAGCATTTGACTTAATGATAGATTGCATTTGCTGACAAGGTCATTGTATCGACCATAGAACTTACGAAATTATGACAAAATCAATGGAAAATTATAGAATACAAATAAAAATTATACCATACAAATGGAAAAATTTACAATGGAATAGATCGAATATTGCAACGTTTGACTTGCCATAGAAGTGGTTACCCAGAAAGAACATTACAATTCTTAGAGAGAAAAAAAAAAAGAGGAAAAGAATCGATTCCGACTTCAAAACATTACCAGAAGATTAACACCAAATTTGAAATTACGTGTATATTGTAACAATTTAAAAGAATTCATTGTAAAAAAAAATAATACCACACTGAAAGTACATTTGTCTGGAGTTAATGAACTTAAATGAGAAACTTGTTTACAAAACGATTCACCAACTACGGAATAAAATGTTTTGGTATGCCATAAAATACATCAGATTTCTCAGAGTGACATCTGATACTGACGTTATCTTCATACCAGTTTAATAACAACTGACATCAAAAGAAAAAAAAAATGACAACTCTAGATTGGATCTTCTGATGTAAAATCAGTCAGTTAATACTTGTGGAATTAAAGGCTTTTATATATTAAACAACCTGACTCGTCCTTAAATGAGATCTATCGAAAGGAAAAGTGAACGTTACCGAAATAAGTTCATTTCTCTTCAAAATTTCTATGTACGCTATTCGATGAACATTGACAAATACATCGTATTTTTGATGGACCTAGAATGAAAGGGTTGCATTACTGATTATGAATACCCAACATTAAAATCAAATGATCTGATTAAATATTTATAACCATAATTATTAAATTATTTTTATTTTATTAAATTTGTCATTATTACCTTTATCTTTAAATGCAATGAATAGTCCGGATTCCTAGATATCGATGGATATCTACGTGCCACGATGACAGAATGATAGAAAATTAATAAAAAAGGAAAAATTAAATATAGTCATTTTTAACATGCTACAATGCATATCTGAAGTAGAAATCCTGAATATGCTAAGCACATCTGTATGGTGGTGATTATGTGAATCTTTGAATTGTTAAGTAACTAAATCTTTCGAGAACAGAACATGCATTTAAGGCAATGTCATACATTTACATGTACTAGATTAATGCGAAAATTTTAGAATATACAGAATCATGAACAGCTTTAAGGCTTATCCAAAGCAACAATTTGTCATTTTACTAAACTTAAGTCATATTTTCTCATTTGCTCAGATGAGCTAAAAAAAAAAAACAAAAAAAAAAAAAAAAGATTCAGGTAAATATTTTTTTCTTCAAAAAACAAAAACGTATTTTGTTTTCAAAATTGTTGGTAGTTATTGTAATCTCATCAAGTGAGGGCTGGGGACAAACTAAATACATAAAATACAGATGAACTGTTTGATAAAGGCTTATTTTCAATCGGAAAAAAAATTATCATTTGAGATATGCAATGATGTATAAATGATTTATCTGATCTTTTTATACAAATATTTTATCTTTTCTGCATGAAAAATACCTTCAACATCAAAACAACAGCTGACTACACTCATTTTATAACTGACACTTATGATCAAGCACAAAGCTTGTAATATTTTTTTATTGTACGGTGTATAAGTATCCACATGTTGGCATCATTATTTCTCTCCTTTATTTGTTCATCACAAACATACTCCAAGTTTATGGCAGCCTTTGCATCATTAAAATGGCACCATGTTTGCTTGCTATACAACTAATAAACACCCTCGTGCACTTTAGTCTGCTAATCAATAAGTTTGTATCATGTGATGAATTATTTGCTATGCACTCTTACTCATGTGGTAGGTCAAATTAAAATAACACTCATGCTGTTGTTGCTCTTCAGTCATGATGTTTTAAAATCTCAGTGTTTGATTTCATCACACTTCAAGATTGGCTCTCCTTCAGAGAGAGAGAGTCTAGCTAGGTGTCACTGTTGGAAATCAAAAATGTTCAAAGTCCAGCATTTCAATGTTATGCTTATTCATATAGTATCCTTTAACAATCAACAGTCACAAAGTCACCTCAAAATTGACTGCTCATCTGAGTTCAAGCAAAGATTAAACCCTATACAACATCAGCTAGAAAAAGATATCACTCATACTGCCTGAACCAATGAAGGATCCTCTCTCAATAACTGAAGAAGAAAACTTCCAATATCTTCATCCTGTCGCAAAATAAGAAAAAAATAATCTTTATTAAAACACTGTTTTCAGAAGGATATGATGAAGTCATTTAATTCAGTAAAATTGAAGTCATTAGACCAGTGTATAAGAGCAGAACATCACCTGATGAGACCAGGATACAAGGACAGACTTGGCTTCATCTTCATCTCCAGATACCTGGATAAGGACGGAGTCTGATATGGATATAGAACCGTCCGATGAATAGTGAATGGAAAAATCCTTCAGTTTTCTACAATGTAGAGAAAACATTTATACAAGAACTGTCCAGCATCTTTTGTTGTAGATAAATGTGTGTTCTTAATTTATCCCTAATTAGCATTAATAATTTTTGTGAAAGTCAATGAAGGGATGATTCTTAATTCCAAGTCTAAAACAAGAGAATACATAGATAAGTAACTTCATATATTTTAAAAAGATTAAGTCATGTGAGATTAAAATCAAACTAAAATGAGCCAGTTTACAATTGCTTGAAGATAGTTATAAGCGGTATACATGTATGATTATTTTTGCCCCCCCCCCCCCCATCAAATGTTAAAAATTTCTTAAAATGTACTAAATTGTATATATTTTCTGAAAAATCTGAATTAACAAATAATATTAAAGATTTGAAGTAGGACATTGGCAATTTTTGTTTCTATGACGTCACAAACTATTTTTTTCAAAAATAGGGCAAAATGAACAAATTTGCTCAATTTTTGCTACATAATTTATAGAGCGCAAACCTGCTCCATAACAATACTCACATATTTCATTGATTTTATCATTCTACAAATTATATCAAAACATGGAGTTCGAGCAGATTTGTGCTCAGTGATTTTTACTCAAAATGTCAACAAAATATACACACTAAATCATGGACATTTTGAATTAATGTCATTTTCCTGACATCATATCTTACATATGATGTGATGGCTGATGAAAATATTTAGGCCAAAGTTATTTTATCTTTAGGTTTACGGATTTTTTTCAACCAAAATGTCCATTTGGTGGTGACAAAATAAAATAAAAATAAATTGAAACTTCTTTCAAACTGAACACCGCAGATTTTTTTTTTTTAAACTATCACCCTCCTTTTGAATTGGGAAAAATTGGAAACATTTTCCTCAAACTGGGAAAAATCATTTATAGTAAATGAGAATCAGATATAGTTTTAAGTTTACTTCAAATCTTATTTAAAATCATTAAATCTTCTTTTTTTTAATATTAAACATGTTGATCATTGAATATTGGGAACATAACTTATATTAGTCAAACCTTGTATAACTTTAATTTACTCTCTTGAAATAACTCATTATTTTATTTTAAAAAACTAATTTACCAGTATTAGGATTCATAATCTACTAAACTGCCTTCTATTAATTATCAAGTTACAGAACATCTTTACTAATTTTAGTGAAACGGTCAAACCCTACAATGTTGTCTATTTCCTGTTATTATCCTGACCTTATATCTACCAATGGCGGTCAAACTAAAATGTCAACAAGGCATGTACCTGGGACCTATAACAAGCTCATTTTTAAGTTGCTTATATCGATATCTCCTTTGTTTCACACATTCATCATAAAAGATTTTGCATGTGCATGGGTTTGGAGAAATAAAATTGAAGTAAAAAAACGTACTTAGACTTTGTCAGCAATTTCTGTAATTTTTGTCCAATTTCAACATAATAATTCCTTACTTTTGAAATTGGAAAAAAAAAATTATCATTGAGAAAAAAATAGCTATTTTTTGTGAGGGGAAAGAGCTGAATATCGGTGGCATTTTGGCCCATAAAATTCACTGATTACATGTTTTTAACACGACTCTTTGGGGGATAGAAAAATATGGCATCCCCTATAGTTTGCTACCTTTTTTCATCCTCAAAAAAAAAGTTTCGGGACAACGTGCTATCTCCAAAACATTTTAACTGTACTTTAAAATAAAGACGTATACACTTTCTGTTTATGGTCACCGAAACGTTTGAAACAGTGAGATGTTTTTATTGCGTGTATTGGACCCAGACGCATTATAAATACTTAAACCCTGATGATCAGACATGAATTTTCATGGAAAATTAACGACAGGAGTGATAAAATCCATTATTTTTATTTTCAAAAACCTGAAAAAATTGGGTCGGCGGATCCGTAAACCGAAAGATATAATAACTGTGGCCTTAATGTTTTGAAGTCTGCAAACATTCCCCTGTTTTAGAACATAATTATACATTTCTCCAGAAAAGTATGATTTTGGGGGCAAATATTGCTCATTAGCAAATGTAGTCCTTTCTTCAAAGCGTTCTCCAGTCAAAATGTTGATGGAAATGCTTCTAAGATTTATTACTGTATGTATGTGTAACTTTTAGGTGACAATTGTTTGATTCATTCACAGATGGTGCAATTTTATGCATAAAGTTATCCTAGCTTTTTTTATTTTAATCTGTGTGTATTTGGTAATCACAGAAATTGTACCTCTTTACTAGTTGATAGATTTTCTCTGCAGCTTTGTTGGAGGGTCCTTCTTCCTCTATAGAAATGGTGGAGGTAAACCGAAGGTGGTGCTCCTCCACCCCCATCTCCTTCAGTGCCTGACTGGGGTCGATGATCTGCAGCCTCTAATATCACAAAATGTATTGATGGTTTAAATGTATATGAATATCAGAATTTATATTGTTGATGTGATAAGAATGCAAATGTATAGAAATTAAATGCACTGAATTAAGAGATGCAGCTAGGACTTATCTTAGATAGGAGAGGAATTACTTATTAAAATCTTAAGGGAATTGTATTTTTTAAGCATGTGTATGTACATTTATGTCATTAACCCAATTCCCCCCTTTACTTACATTTCCCCTCATGACTAAAGCTCCATGTAAAACCCTGGGTCTTTTAGCATCAGGGGGAAGTAATCCTGGAAGATAAACAATGCAAATAGCCATTTAAAAGAAAATAACTACTTGTATCTGACAGCCAAAGTCAGAAAAAAAGTCATGTAATTTATTATAAAACATGTATCTACAACAATGGAATTAACAATATAAACATGTTTATAGCATGTTTATGTCAAACACATAACTGTTAATATCACCTGTTGATGAAGTTATGAAGTTTTGTTATCAAGTTGATATGTTATCTGAATACAACGAATCATAGATACACTGTAAATAGAGGAAATATTGGCTATTTTGATCCACAGGTTTGTGTGCCACTGTGTACTCAACTCAAAAATATTTGACCTAAAAAAATACCTGTTTTTGATGCTTCCCTCTTTAATAAAGAAAGGGGAATATCCACATGAATATTATGCATCGTTTCTATGGTGACAGTCTCCCCATTAGCTGGTTTGAAGCAATCAATACCTAAATAATCAAAATTATACGTATTTTGATAATCTTTTCATTAAACTGGTTAAAGTAAAACTATTTTTAAGATTAAGCTGAGAGATACCAGTTGTGATTGAGAGAAACAATACATTAAACTGTACCGAATTCCTGCTGGATTTTGTTCTTTAAGAAGTCCATCTTTGCAGCCTCCCCATGGACAAGCATGACATTTCTGGGTTCACACTGTGAGATAAGCTGCATGATTCCCTTGGCATCGGCATGAGCACTGAAGGACATATACTGTACAGACAGCTTCACCTCCAACTGTAGACAAACAAAATTTGTGGTCAAGTATGGAGTAAAATAATGTGACATGTGGCTCAACAAATTATCACATGTAAATGTACATGTACCTGACGTCTTAATGTTTTTCTTTTCAAAGAAGTTGATGTAAATTCTTCACCCAGTTATTTTTTTTAAGTTAATGCCATTAATTACTAATTTGAAAAGTGTTGTGAATTTATTTTAATTATTTATTTACTACTAAAATTCATTTCATTTGAATAAATACATGTATATACTGCAAATAGCATTTTACCTGAACCATCTTCTTGATTAGATTATTGTTCTGAATGACTTTAATTTCAGTTTACTTAAGTATATTTTTCTTTTCTTTCTAAGTTCTGTTGGTGTTGTGTCCTAGTTTTTAACTAAGTTGTACTCCAAACTGCTTGTTTCTAGTTTTGATTTTTGGTGTATACTCACCATTTGTTTGTTCTCTAACTCTAATTTACGAGCTCCATTGAGAATTTTGTGACCAACAGTACCAGCTACACAATATCCAGGCATTATCACCTAGTTATTAAAATGATAATTATTGCTTCGTGAATTTGAAAGAAAATCAAAATTTTCTTTTTAAAATAATTTTTTAAAATTGTTACTACAACTTACA